TAACTATACACCGTGAAATCTATTTCATTTTCGTTCTGAAGTAAAATGGTTCTATCTTGGTAATACAACAATGTTACTTTACAAAGAAACAAAATGTTTAAAACAAAAAATAACTGGTGAGCCATTGCAAAAAGCAAACTTGGAAAGCGCATACGAACTCATAGTACATTATCAAAACATTACGCCAAGTATTTCTCGTCGGGTGGCACGTGCATTGCGAATAGTAGAACTAATTTACGTCTAGTGTTTCATATGGGTATTATTTACTTACATTAAAACACATCTTTATTTTTTTTCACTTACATATTGGAAGTACTCCTTATGCCTGTGGCAAATTGCTAAATAAATTTCACGTGTATTATGTTCTGCAATTGGGATGATGACAGGACATAAAAATTAAAAATCTAATCAGTGCGTAAGTTAGGTAATTAAAAAGTATTAGACACGTATTTTTTTATTTTGTCGTATAATAAAGCAATACTTAGATAAAACGAATCAAAGTTTAGGAGTGGGGGCTAAACATCATTTCTACATATAAAATGTACCTATGTACGCGACGTCACTCGACATTTCAAATCAATATATCGTCGAAAGTATTCGTTTTTATAAGAAAAGAAAAATACTAATACAATAATCTACCAGACGGACATTAAAATAAAAATTAGGCATTTACCCTATTCAAGTTACTATGTTTCTCTGCTGCTATTTATGATGCATTCCATTATAGTATCTACTGCTCTTATCATAAGAGCCCGGTGATATCAGAAAATTGAAAGTAAATCGGAGATAGTTGGAACAATCTGACGCAGCAAGTAAAGAGAGATAAGATAAAATAAGGAAAAAGGGAGGATGTCTTGAATGGACAGTTTTCTTGGTACCAAACTGGTATTGAGAAAGTTAGTTTGTGTTTGTTACGCTTTTGTCTAAACTGTAGGATTGGTTTTGATTGACTAAGGTGCAAAGGATAGATTGTTAATAGATCATTTTTTATATTTAAACTTTCGTGAGACATACTAATTAATTTTTATGCTTTCGGCTTACTCACGTAACTGTTTAACAAGGAACTCGACTAGTTTCAAGCCATGCTAGAAGCTGTAACAGCGCGACATTCACCGCGTCGTGGGTTGCAGAATGCTGCCCATGAATATAAGCCTCTAGCATGGCTTGAAACTAGTCGAGTTCCTCGTCAAACAGTTACGTGTGTAAGCCGAAAACATAATAATTAATTAGATGTTTTAGTTTAGGAAGACAATGGAAATAATATTTAGAGAAATAAAGTTGTGTGACGTAGTTTTTTTTTTAGGAATGGAGGATAAACGAGTAAGTGAGTGACCTCCTTGGTTACACCCTCAACATCAGAGTTTTTCTAATTAAATTACCGGCCATAAGAGGACGGATAAGTCCTCTGATAATAATCCCTTATTTACACGATGACACACCACATACTGCACCATATAATACTTTTTATTTAATACAGAAGAGCAAAAGACAACTTTGAGTACATAAGTCCTAATTGATTACACAAATTAGGTTATAAATCTAGATCTACCTTAAAAACGTCGTATCTTAAGGTCCAGAATTGCTCAATGGCCGAAAAAATGGCGGACATAAAGCAATGTCCTAATTAAATACTTAATGAATTTGCTACCGTAATGAGAAGTAAAATGTGCGAAAGAATTAATTATAATTCGGATGATTTTGATTATCAGTTCACGTTGAGTGAATTTATTTTTTAATTATCTACACTTGTACTGCTTCAGTAGGTAGGTACGTAATGATAACGATTTTTATGCCTATTGCGTCCTCACCAAACGAATATTTTGTATTGATACTGATAAAGTGACCCCCTGTTTCGGAAGACTAAGATCTTTCTTCGAAAGACCTTACATTTATTTCAAAATCTGTTAAATTCCTTTTTTTGACGAGCAGATGGATCACCTGATCGTAAGCAATTGGCGTCGCCCATGGACACCGGTTACTAGTGCGTTACCGGCCTTTTGGGGATTAGGGATTTGAGGATTGTTGGGAATTTGGGGATTAGAGAAATTGGGGTGACCTCACTCACATGACGAAACACAACGCAAACGTTGTTTTACGTCGGTTTTGTGTGAGGCCGTGGTATCACTGCGGTGGAACTAGCCCATTCGTGCCGAAGCATGGCTCTCCCACACTTAAAATTTACTTCGTACTGGTTGATATGCTAAAAATAATGTTCGAATGTATTAAGAGAACGCAATATGTTTCTTTCCTTGTCATATCAGGTCTGACGTCATTAACCTGTCATTTGTTTTATTTTTTGTTGTGAATGTGGAAATCATAATTATAATAGTAAAGTTTGAATTTAGTAAGAGAACGCAGTATGTTTTTGTCCTTGTCATTTCGGGTCTGACGTCATTGACATGTCATTTGTTTATGAATTGGCACGTTACATTGCTTGTGTAACTTCTGTGCTTTACGGAGTCTTCAGCTGACATTTCTGCGACTTGTCTATTCATCCTCACGCCTATCAAACTTGTAACATTAGTAGACGAAGAAAGATATTCATTTGAAGTCTCCAATACCTTAGCTAAAACTACCAGCTGTTAAAAAAAGTTGTCAATAGCGTCAACTAAAATAACTTCAACTGTACATCACCTAAATAATCGATACAATGAAACGTGAACCTAAAGAAAGGATTTTCGGTAACTTAATCCCTCAGTGGGTGTAAATATCAGCTTCGAAGATATTTTCTTATAGTTTTTGTTCCGTAAAATCTGCCGATAGTTTTACAATGGACGTCTTTCAAGTCTTTCAATTGAAAGATTCATAAAGAAAGAATATTATCTTTCCTATAGTGCTGAGAGCCTTATTTTTTTAAAACGTTACCTTACACTATATTGGATTTTCTCCTGTATTGTGGGTGCATTTACAAACATACAATTTCACATATACATGATGCTCAGACTCAAAATAATAATTTGTGGATTTGAACACAAAGAGTTGGTCCGTGTGGGAATCGAATCCGCTACACATTGCGTGGCAGCCGGTTCCCCAGCCACCGCACCAACCTTGCAGTCACAGTAGTGACTTACAACATACCTTGTGAAATTTGAATGTTACATAATACTTACATATACAACATCTCTGCCTACCCCTTTGTGGATAAAAAGTCCACGCCACGCTTTTAAATCCTCATTATGAGTTTGTATATATTTCCCATAGCTTTTTAAATAGAGATAGTATTTGCGTCGCGCATTGTGACAACTGCATTCCGTGATTGCACGAGTAATATATATATATATATACACATATATGAGTGTGTATGTACTGCATATATCATATATGATATATACCTCTAACACGTGTATACATAGCTGCCTGTTACCTGCATTATGCATAAGTGTATCTTTGCAAATGCACTCCGACTGAAGCGGTTTGGTAACATGAATATTTTTGGAGTGCAACCGTGGCTGAAATAGGAGATGGTAGTCTCGAAACGGCGTGCAAACGAATTGAATTAACAAATATGAATTTATTTGCCTTTTAATAGTTGTTTTAAAACATTAATATTCTCTCTAAATTTAATGTTTAGTTTCATATGGTATATAGGTTAAGACTTTGACTGCCAATAAAAAAACTGTTGAAGGTAAATCCTCCGCTAACGCCGGTCACCGGTGACCCCCATGGGGCCATGGTGTTTAACGTGTTAATATGTTTATATCACTTCTATTAAACGGTGTATGTATATATCTTCTTATTCTTATGGTACCAGTTCATTCCTGAAGGTTAGCCGTCAGCTTTCTGAGTTGGTCCTTGTCATTGGCCAGGCGGAAAAGTTGTTCCACAGAGCTGATACCAATCTGTAGTTTAGTTAGAAATCTAAGCATGGTGACGGGCTCACGGAATGTGGGAAAGTTACAGAGGATATGGTTTACTCGCGTCTTATGTGTGTTGTATATATCATAAAATAATATGTGTATTGTGTAATGAAATCTTGACTGCACGGAGCAACTCTTTGAGTGATCTACAGATTGTTGTTCCGGGTCTGACTGTTATGTGTATGTGAACTTGTATGTTTGTAAACACACCCACGATACAGGAGAAACTCTTAGTGTATGGGGCAACGATATTTTAAAAAGAAACAATAGAAATCTTATTTACTTGACATATCGTATAATATTAGTGACCTCCTCTGAAACTTGAAGCAACGGCCGGCGGAAAAAAAGGTATTTTCGGTCTGAACAGGTAAGACTATGATCGAAGAATATTGTTTTTTTTTTTTCGTTTTATCCACTGTTTTGTAAGTAACTCGACCGTAAGTAATTGAAACATTATTTATCGTTCAGGACACTGCCCTTATAACGTGTATCTGATATAAATTAATTTTATTTTTTCTTGTAGGAGAAGAATTTGATAAGTATTAACGATTTTATGATAATTCTTTCTTTTCGAACATAATGATAGCCCGAGTGGGTGTTAAAATTATTTTTTTAGTACAATTACAAACAGATTTTTTCAATAAATTAGTCGACACGTGGATTGTTTTTGTTAGCTGTATGACGGATTATCTTCATCTAATTAATTGACTTAGTATTTTAAAGGAACTTCCTTAATCTCGGCTTTGGAAGTAAACCATTATTTTACAACACAAATTGTTATAATAAGACAATCATTCTTCTTCCTTATTCTTTTAATTAAGATATCATGTTGGCAGGAAATATCCCTCATAATTAGACCGTCAAGTTAATGTGTATTAATTCATTATTTTGATGTATCTATAAAATGTAAGCGAATAATTAAAAGTATTCAATTGTTCCATTAAAATAACACACATATTCCTTATCAAAAGGATTATTCTTCTTGACGATGTGACTGACAATAACGATTGACAAAACAATAGTCAAATGATCTTTCTAGAACACTGGTAGTTTATAGAGTCCCTGTCGTTGTAATATAGACCCAAACCTCCCAGACACTAAAGCGCATTTTCCTCTAAACATCAATTAAAATTACTATCATACCTGTGCGATGAGTTTCTGCAACTCTTCATTTTCTTTGACTAGTTCCCGGTAGCGCTCTTCGTCGGCTGGGGCGGAGCCCGACCCGGAGCCCCGGCCGCTCTCTGCACGCTCCGTGGGATGACGGATCACCTCGATCACCTATACAGGGCGAGTAAAAAAGAAAATATACAATAAGGTCTTTTTAAATTAGTTTTTAATATTTATTTGAAAATATCAAAAAACGGAGTTTATTTTTTATTGGCTATCGTGAGACATACTAAATTAACTAAAAATCGCGTGTTACAATCGTGAAAATACTAGAAAAGCTCTACTAATTTCGAACCACAGAGGGGTTCTTCCATGAGCTCATGAGAGCTGTATGTGGTTCGAAACTAGTAGAGCTATTCTTAGTATTTTCACTTGAGTGAAGTGAGTGAACCCGCGATTTTAAGTGAATTTAACGTAGTTTATTGTTAAGTATTTGGTGTAAGATTATTAATCGTATTTTGATTTGCGTCTATACTTGTCTTGTTGCTCATAAATTAGCTACAAAAATGTGAACATGATACTAAGGGATGATAAAAGGTCAATCTATTTCACATAGCATTATAGATTTTAATGTGTTACGATAAGGTTTAAAATCGATAAAAAAATTGATGGTTTTGAAGCTATTTGTTGTGTTGATGTCTGTTTTTAAAATATTTCGTGTTTATTTGAGAAAATCCAGTATAAGTTAAACGCTTGTAGCCTATATTTTGCTTGCAATGTGAGGTCACCTTATATCGGTGTTTATGGAGTGATGTTCTCATAATGTTGCATTATGCAGGAAGCTAATGTTGGGTGAAATGCTGGTTTACGTCATGTTTTCAATTATGTTTAAAAGGGTAAGTAAGGATATGTGGGTTTTAGACTGTAATTATTATTCTATAGGTCAGGTAAAAAGAACGTACGTAAGTTCTTTTATCTTAGATTGATCAATTGCAAATTTTTAAGCCTTTTATTCCACGAAGACACTTTCGGTAAAGAGGATGAATTTAATGCAAAACCCCAAAGAAAGAGATTTTAGAAAATATTATGATTCTGCTCTATTAATACATACATACATATATAACTTCACGCCCGTCTCCCATTGGGGGTAACAGAGACTATAAAACGCCAAATTAATAAAAATATACTATATCACTGTTATAGGTATTTATCGCATTAAAAATATGTTTGTATATATGTAAACCCACGTGTCAGCATCATATGTCATAAAGAATGTTTCATTAATCACAATGTGTAATCGGGGATTATAAACTGAGGCACGTGTACGGCAGCGTGTACGGTCATTGCTTTTTAATTACGATAGATAAGAGCACCTAATCGAAATAGGAATAGGTACTGTTAGTAATAATCATTCAAAACATAGGAGAGGCCAATATGCTAATTCGAAGTTACACGAGCGTCATATGATAGAAGTCATTACGTAAGTCATCAGAACGTTAGATTCCGAGGTATACCATGTACCTACCTTTTATTAAATAAACTAGCTTTTACCCGCGGCTTCGCTCGCGTCACAAAAGGATCAAAAGTAGCCTGTGACATATACCAATACACACAGCGCCATCTATACCAATACTTTAGTTTTTCCTCGGGAATATCAAATTTTTCCGGGTTTAAAAGTACCCTATTATTTAATCCGGACTTCTAACTTTACGTCTGCAAAAATTCAAAGCAATCGGTTTAGTAGTGACGGCGTGAAAGTGGAACAAACAAACAAACAAACAAACTCACTTTCCGATTTATAATATATAAGTAAGGATAAGTAAGGATAAGTAAGGATAAGTAAGGATAAAAAAAAAAGGCTGATGGGCCATCCATGGATAAAGATACCACAGTTGACTTCGTGTCTCCACAGGCAAAGGAGGAACACCGCGGTAGTTTTAGCCGGTAAGAGTCCGGCACACACTCTGATCTTCCCAACGACGTTGGAAGTTCATGAGGATTTCCATCAACTCGACTTTGTGCCTGAATAATTAAAAAAAAAACAGCAACCGTCACCGATTTCAGTCCACTGCTGGTCTAAGTCACAGGCCACGCTAACGCGACGCGTCTTGCGTCTGTGATTAGCTGGAAAAAGAACATGGATTGCGACATAGGCTTTTCTGATAGCACGTGGGTAATGCGAGATGCTGCACCCTGGAATCGACATTGCTGGCTAGGCCCCAGAGTGGGGACTATGGGCATAACATATTATGGCGCGTATAAAGCAATAACAAATAGGTATTGAATTTCTACGTAGTTACAATTTATTGTTATGGCGAAAATTACAAGATTGTTAAGTCTCCAAAATACGCATTGGATCCTATACCGTTGGTTACATACGCTTTCTTTTAAACGGCTTGTGAAATGTCGATCAAATTTGGTACAGAGATAGATATCAATTTAAAAATATATTCAGTTAAAATCTAGTTTAACAAATGATTAGGTATTTTTTTAAGGGGGAAAATTATCGAATGACTGCTCCCGCCTGGGTGAGGCGGGAGGGAGTGTCAGACTCTCACTGATTAAAAACCACCCCGTTACTTCTCCTGCACTTCGAGCCGGAGCCCCGGTAACCTGTTAGGTTCTAGGTATAGCTAAAGCATTGATACTGAGGTAATACAGGAAAAATGTAAGTATTTAGAATTAATCGATAAAAAATAATTTTTCAGGTCGGACTAAGTAAAGTTGCGAATGAAAAGTAACTACTACAAATTCCGATAACGCAATGACTAACAGTTTATATAACTGCGTTTCTGAGTACTATCGTAGATAAACGGATAAACAAGATTATTTGTTTTCAATACTAACCCTAGTAATTTCCTTAAGTACTATCTGTGCACCCACAAATAGATCGTAGATAGGTACTAGACAATCTAGATAAATGTAATGAATAATATTAGATAATAGATATATCACATGTTTATTATGTCTGATTCAATGTGTGTCTTTTTGTGTCGACTGTCTCTTTAATTATTATGGATGTAATGTAGTAACCTTTGACAATCTTAGTTGGACTTGAGTATTTGGCAACAAACCAAATGCAGCTAGGTTCATCAGTTATCGAAATAATATTTCTAAAATTAAATTGGCTTTATTTGCTAGTTTGTCACTGCCTCTCTACAGGTCTTTTTTTATTGTGGGGCATTATGTCTTACAATGAAGGGGAACTAATACCGTATCAATCGAGTTTCAATAGATATAACGTCAATAGGATTTCGTATTAATTATAAAACTAGTAAGATCAAATTATTTCATAAAATATAGGTACACCTATTTACAAAAGAGATAATATTTAAATACTGCCAAACAGTTATTTAATGTGAATATAGTGCCATTATACCCCGAGACCCGGGTGTAAATATTCCACAAAGACATTTTTATATTTAAACTGCCGCCATAATACCGATTATCATGTTAAATCGTGTGAAAGTATCTCAAAGGTAGGCATTAATTTCAGTTAGGAGCCCAACTTCTGCCGTAAATCAAATTTCGGTTTATATTTTAAACGGCTGAATCAATTCGCCCTTTAGAGGAATTTTGAGGTCTCTATTTTAAGATAAGAGATAAAATTGTACTGTGAATTAAGCGTTATTTAAATTGGTGTTGTGTTACGTTGGCTGAATAAAAAAAAATATATCAAAGTTATCAAATATAATTGACATTCTTCATTATGAAGTAAAGATCTATTACATACAATAGTCACGATTATATATCTAGGTGTTTGTTCTATAACAAAATAGAATATAAACTTTTTGACCACCCTGAACTCGGTATTTTCTCAACAAAAATTGTCGTCACTTCTGAAAAAAAATCATAATTGTGATATACATATCTAGTTCACAGAAATGGAAATTATAATCTTTATCAAAGAACTTCAGATGATAATAAATAAGTTCCATCAAAATATCAAGAGAAGTCCGCGAAAACTTTTAAGTATAAAATACAGAGTGCACATTTCTAGTGAAGATTAAAGTTTTGTATTGTGTATAGTTTCCCGAATTGTATATTGTACTGGTTTATCAGCGGCGACTGGGTGACAGTAAGTTCTTAAAGACAATGGATGCCGACATCTTTATAATTAAATAGGTCACTGCAAATTAGGTCAGATTTTGTATCGAAGAATCAATTTTTGTTATCAAGTCATTCAAGTCCACTGGGCTGTTTTGATTTTGTTGTTTATGTTGGAAATTTTAAGAAAAGTTATTTTGAAATAATGGTTCTTGTGATAATACTCGTCATGGTTGTTCAGTTGTCAGTAAGTATCGGAGTTTAGTGCGTATAAATGATTTGATGTATAAAAGAAACCGTTGTTCCTTTTATACATTTATTTAGACGATTTAGACAGCTCGTCAGCCGGTATTACAGAATATCGTCTAATTTTGGTGGTTTTGGATGTAAAGCTGAAAAATAGTTCTTATTCCAATGTTGCTAAAATTCTTTATGGAAAAAGAAACAGCATGTTTTTATCAAATTCACGACTTTAATCCTTAGAGATATTTCTTAAAATGTCTTACAACATTGTACCTAAAAAGCATGTCCAGTCACATTACTTATACTACTATTTTACATTGTTTCCGACCATTTCTGAATATCTGTTCATCCATTAGTTTGTCTAAGTTACAGTTAACTCAGGGCTGTTCCGAAGCCTGGTCGCTATTGTCTTTGTGTCAACCGCTCGTCAACTGTTTCATACAAAACAGTTTGACCTTGATATTGTACGCAATAAGGACGATATTCGCAACAAAGGAGCGATTATGAGATGTTTTAGTCATCAAATAGAGTTATTTGTGGTGTTAAAAGTGAGTGTTAAGTTACAATTTGAGTAATAGTAAATTAGCACTCGGATCACCTGATGGTAAGCAATCGGCGCTTACCATGTACATCTGAAACACCAGGGGCGTGACAAGTGTGTTACCAGCCTTTTGGGAATTGGGAATTTGAGGATAATGGGGGATTCGGGGATTGGGGAGACTAAAGAGAAGGGGGGGGGGGGTAAATTGAGCCTTCGGAAACCTTACTTACACGACGAAACAACAACGACAATGACAACAACAACGCCAGCGTTGTTTCACGTCGGTTTTCTGTGAGGCCGTCGTATCACTCCGGTCGAGACGGCCCATTGGATGCAAAAATCAGGGCCGTCCAGGGCGGGATCTTAAATTATCTCCAGTCCGTAATAGGCTGTATCTTATCTTACTAATATTATAATATTAGTGAAAATGTGAAAGTTTGTATGTTTGTGTATATGTTTGTTTGTCACGCCGAAACGGCTGAACGTATTGGTTTGAAATCACGGATAGATTACGGTCTGAAAAACGTAGGCTACTTTTCTTCCCACGAGCAAAGCCGCGGTCGGAAACTAGTGTTAGGATGACACTAAGAGCTACACAGTGAATAGTCATTGTAGGTAGTGTCGTTTAAGAAGATGCAACAACAATCACAACTTAAATATATCTTAATCTATACAGCATCAACTCACCTTAGGGATAAAAATCAGTGCCATGCTGAGAAAACAGCAGAACACGATAGCTAGAGACACGAAGGCGAATGCAGCATCTTGTTGGCTGGCGATGACGAGGGTCACTGGGGCTGTGATGAGGCACAGCACCACCACATTGTATATGCTCATGCCGACGTATCTGGAGTCGTTGATCTGGCGTACTTTTACCGAACGGGTCTCGTATGCCAGGAACAGGCCGAAGACCAGCACTAGTCCTTTGTAACCGTACATTACACCTGGAACAAAAGAGGGTTTAGTATTTTTGTTGTAATTTTAAAAAGCAAATTTAATTATTATGTTTCGGCTATTATGGTTCAGATAGTCGAAGCGTCGTGCGTCGCGGAATGCTGCACATGAATATGAGCCTCTAGCATGGCTTGAAACTAGTCGAGTTCCTTGTCAAATAGTTACGTGGGTAAACCGAAAACAAAAATTAGCTTAGTTTATCTCAAGAAAGTTTTAATATAAAAATTAGTTAATATTGTAATTGTCGAATTCAGGCTTCTCTATGTAGGAGTTTTTAAACTTCCACTAATGAAAACTTTCATTGCTGCTGTATAATTTGGTTTTATTTCGATATATATTATTTTTTACTTTATTCCATTTGATAGTTAATCTAATTCATAGTTCTCGTTATTCGTGTTATGGTTTTGCTAGCTAAATAATACTAAATATAGGATATATTTCGATATCATAATTTGTAGAACGACGGATTCTAGGAACCCTTCTAGAGTCTGTATCTACTCAGGTACATAATAATATATTCTGTTTGTATGTGTTACATAAGACTAACATAACATATTGGCGAGTAATATATACTTTGTGTGTTCACGTCCTATTCATGGAAAATCCTTACTGACTAAATATTAAGTGCATATTTCTATAAATAGATGTTCTCTTTGGTCTAGATGTAAAGTTATTATAGACGGTAGGAAATAATCGACAAGAAGTTACGCAAGCCTACGTTTTTGAGCACTGCGGCATCATACGCATGTTTTAAAATGCGGAGAACATAACAAAAAGAACAGCTGTTAAGAACGACTTAAGAAAAACTTAAAATTCACGAAGTTACCGTCGCAAATGACTCGCAGTGGACTTTGTAGGAGATTTATGTAATGTAATTCACTGTTTACTTTACTTTAAATCACTTTGTATTAGAGCTCATCTCTTCAAATTATTGTTGTTTTGTTATAAGGCTCAGAATTCGGTTTATTTTGTAATTAAAAGTTGGTATCAAATTAAACGACTGTCCCTAGTTCAAGTAGATGTTTTTCTAGATAAAAAATGGAACGACAAGGGACGCTTTATTTCTTAGAGTTTGTGTAAAGTTGCGTAGAACAATGTTTTTGTTTGTGCACCTCGCATTGAAATATTCTAGAATAAGTGGTGCGTGAAAATGAAACGTATTCGTAGCTGAAGGCAGCGCTCCACGTCAATACTGACAACTTGAAGTGTTCAGTTTACATGTGAATAATTGGATATTCTGTACGTACTCACAAACACTATTTACATGTAAATATCGTTTATTGCTGGCAAATTGATATGCCAATATTGGGGAGTTATGTGTGTACTATTTATAGGTTTTATGTATTAAAAAGCAATCAAAACATTGAATATTAAAAAAAAGTTTTTAAAAGTACCTATAGTGTTACTAAGAATAGGTAACGTAGGTGTATTCAAACGAGCAATTGTGTAATTAAAGGAAAAGTGGAGAGGTTAGAAGCGATGTATCTGAATCTGACAAAGTCTAACTTTAGGGTCTACGAAGATACATCATCAGCACATAAATGCCTACTGCTGAGTAAAGCCTCTTCTCATACGGAAAAGGTTTGAGCATTAGTCACCACGCTTGCTCATTGCGGGTTATCGATTTCAAACTTATAAGCTTAGGTTTCCTCATAATGTTTTCCTTCAGCGTCTGTCTAAATAATCTTAGAAAGTACCTACATATAACACGGAAAAAGTCACATTGGTACTTGTCGTTGGTAGACTTTGAACCCGCACCCTCGTGCATTAGAAGCCTTCTTAAACCTCCAGTCCACTACGACTACGAAGATACAGATAACGAGATAATCTAACTAATCTATTTAATAGATCTTGTAAATACCAATTAGATTATGTCAATAGATGTCTATTACATTCTAATGATGCTTAATATGACCTATTATTAACACAACATACAGTAGCTACAACATATACTTGTAGTTAAAGTTTGACGGTTCGATTCCCGGGTCGGGCAAAGTACTACTGAGTGTTTATAAATTCTCAGTAGTAGCACGGAGTCTGGAATTGTTCCCGGTATATGGCAATAGGCTCACCCCCTATTACATGGGACTCATAACATAAATAGTGAAAAGTGGGTGTTACATTGTACAGTGGCATAATATACACCTCTGCCTACCCCTTCGGGGATAAAAGGCGTGATGTTATGTTATGTTTTTAAAGTTTGACTAGTGACTGAGAGTTTTTTTATGGAGTATTTTTTATATTTTTTTTTATATAAGGCGGTAAATGATCAGATGTATCACCTGATGGTAAGTAATCGACGTCGTCCATGGACACCTGGAACACCAGAGGCGTTACAAGTGCGTTACCGGGGATAAGGAAATTGAGGATTGTTGGGGATTGCGGATTGGGGAGCTTGGGGAAGGAGTGGCGGGGGTTATTAGGCCTTGCGTAACGTCACTCACACGACGAAACAACGCAAACGATGTTTCACGTCAGTTTTCTGCTCGGCCGTGGTATAACTCCGATCAACCAGGCCCATTTGAATCGAAGCATTACTCTCCTAAACTTTTATTTAGAAGTTAGGCAGGAGTATTCTCTAAACTCTTTTAGTTCAGTGACTTAACTATAATCCCCTAGTCGCCTACTGAAGATTATGACAAATCCCTTCTTTTTCTTCCTTTTTTCAACATTGCCTTTATTCTGGCTGATTATGATGTGTTTGTGTATTATTAGCACAGGATAAAGGACTATCATACACATAACATACCTCAAACTACTATGCAGGATGAATAATGTATACTGCACCTCACAACATACAACCAGGAGTACATTATATAAGGTAGTGTTAAGGGAAATACCGCGGTTTGCATACCACACAATGTAATGCCACCTACTTTTGAATAGTTATGAGTCCCATTGCGACCGCGAGGGGTCTCAGGTACAAAAGTAGGGTAGAGCAAGCTGCCTAGAATTGGGTATTGCCATCTAAAATTCTGTTATTGTTGAAGATAATCTGTAGCTAATGGAGAATGGTACTGTGACGTAAATTAAGACAGTACCTACGCATTTGTATCTTCATATAGCTTACTAAATAATGACTACTACCTATTTGATTGTACGACAAAACTAAGTATAGACCAATTCGTAACATAGAGGACTTTATAGTTATCTACGCATATTTGTAAAAACTTTAACAGTCTTCATTGTAACAGCGAGCTTATAGCTAGCTACTAGCAATAATTTCACTACCATACAGAGCTCTTAACATAAGTGTGGGAGAGCCATGCTTCGGCACGAATGGGCCGGCTCGACCTGAGTGATACCACGGCCTCACAAAAAAACCGACGTGTAGCAACGCTTACGTTGTGTTTCGTCGTGTGAGTGAGGTTACCGGAGGCCCAATTAAATTCCCCTTCTCCAATATCCCCAATTCCTGAATGCCCAACGATCCTCGAACTCCAAACTCCTAATCCCCAAAAGGCCGGTAACGCTCTTGTAACGCCTCTGGTGTTCCAGATGTCAATGGGCGACGCCGATTACTTACCATCAGGTGATCCGTCAGCTCGATAACCGGCTTATATGATAAAAAAAGTAGCCAAAAGTGTAACATATAACATTTTTTTTCACTGCATGCCATTCTCTTTTTTATTCCTTTCGATGTGTAACAGTTATACTATGCTTCTCTATTTGTGGTCTATACAAGAAAACGTACCGTTTGTTAAGACTCAATAGTTAATCACAATAATATAGCATGTATGTACATATGTATATTGTATTGCCTTAACCTACCATACAAGAAAATAGCGATGGTGACATTCAGATAAAGTCAATACAAAGAGACGGCAATATGGTCAACAATGCTCATTTATATACACACCCCACACAATACCATGTTGCTATTGGATCATTATTACCAAGTAGCGAGCATTCCTACTAAACAATGACTGGCCATCGATCCAGTATGAACAATTAGATCTGTCAATATGCTATTTGACTGGCATTGGTAGCATTGTCTCTATAATATGATTATGGCATCGCAGTACTGTTGTTTCATATTAATGGGAATCATGCTCCTGGAATTCATTATGAAGTTTCATGCATGTTATTCTGGGAAAATGTCTATGGATCTATTCAGTACTTTTATATTTCGCTTCGCCACCAAATCTTCTCGCGCGTGTCCGAAAACTACTCATTTGATAGGCAAAAGAGTAACCTATGGAGTTTCTTGCTTGTTATTCTCCATAGGAATCTACACCTTGAAATGAGCAAATAGCTACGCTTTTAAATTTTTTTGTTGACTTTCAAAAGTGCCTTCCTGGTGTAATTGAAATAAATGATTTTAACTTTGAACCGGACAACATTTCTCTCTGTTTTTTTTTTAAATTACGATTTCTAGGTTACCTCGAATATCGAACAGGGCTTTAGATCGTATTATTTTTATTCTACAAAAATAATAACGTAGTTTTATAGTCTCTTGTTCATTATAATAATGAAGTTGAAACAGATCTTGGCATGTGTCCACGTTTCTTACGAGAATGTTGCTGGACTTGTAGTGCGCGTAGCAAGCGAGCTAGCTAGGATACAAGTTGTAGGTAACATAACATACATAGCTATACCAGTGGGACTGTTCAGCCGTAGCTCTTCATATTAAGCCTTCGTATTATTATAGCATTATAAATGTGGGTGTTAAAAGAAAATACATATCTTTATTAGAATGTACTTAATTATTAGATTATTACTTAATTTAAAAACTGACTGAATAGCGTAACTAGCAATTAGTTACCTACAGATACATTTGACCTATCTATTCTTAAAAAATCCACAGCGCCAAGCGAGCAAATGGAAACTCTCTAATAACAATGTAACATAACACCACATCACGCCTTTTATCTCCGAAGGGGTAGGCAGAGGTGCACATTACGACACTTAATGTTACTGTACAATGTAACACCCACTTTTCACTATTTATGTAATGAGTCCCTTGTAATAGGGGGTAAGCCTATTGCCATATACCGGGCACAATATTAGATTCCGTGCTACTACTGAGAATTTTTTTGAACACCCCTTCCCTGCACGGCAGTCGCACTTGCCAACGAGGAGGCAGATAGGCAGGCTCTCTAATATAATGTGACTAATAACATAACTACTGATTAGTCGGCTATAGCTAAAGTTTTCCATAACTATTTGACAAAAAACAGATGAATATTAAGTTCGCATATTAAATGGTACTCACCAAGCCAAACAGTGTTGTGTTTACTCTCACAGTGTTCAAGTTCAGGTCTTATATGGACATCATCGTCGTGGTGTCTTGGTGCTTCCAGAGGGAAGGTCTCCACGCGCCTCTCCAGAGGATCCCTGAGTTGCCAGGCAGTCAGGAGCGCCACGTCTACCACCAGTAGACCTCCAACCATTGTGTATAGTTTCCAGCCGTGGATGCGCTTTTTCTGTTAGAGAAATGGGATTTTAATCTTTATGTTGTACGTTTTAAGGTTTTTAATTGATAGGTATAAGTTTCATTTCAAGATTTCACCAAGTTTGTTATTCTTTTACAAAGTCTATTGAAAATAGTAACTATGAAGTGGTCTTAAGTTAAATAAATAAATTTCCCATATATAGAACACTAAGATTTTAATTAGTAACAGTATTACAAATAAACATTGACAATTTTTTTTCTAACCGGAAAATAACAATCTGTAACTTGTTTTGAGTTGAGAATAGAATTTCCAAGACTTGATATTAGTAGCCGCTCGCGATAAGACATACGAGGCAGTGAACCGAACATTCTACTTAAACAACAGCTCTTTCAAACTCGAAAGCAGGAAAATCTTTGACATTTCCCAATAAAGTAAATCAGAAGTCAGCGATACAATATATTTAAAGAACGCGGCGGGAGGGAGTCGTATCAGATCCAACAAAATAAAAAATCCGGGTATTTTAAAAAGCTTTTTGTTCGTATTTGCACAAGGACTTCATCGGATGTGATCTCAATAAGTCGTGTAAACTTCAGGGAGCCAATGAAGTGTGGCAACAACGCAAACACTCGGTATGTAAAGTGACACAAGACGATCTAATTTCCATTGTATTGTGTATTCGGGTTGAAAGAGTTTTACATTCACGCCTGTCGTGGTCGGATCAGCCTCCGGTAAGATGAATGTGCCACTTTAGTGACATTCCTGTGACGATTACGTCACGTCACACGTAATTTATGCGAGCGCTAATATTGAGTGAGTTACGGATGTCTGTTTCAAATTCACCCTAATCTAATAAAATATTATAAAAGATTTTCGTTTCCTCCTCGGCCTCGGTTCACGTGTGGAGGTGATACACATAATGTGACAACTGACATAAACAAGACAGGATAAAAACCTACTGCGATATAATACAATTCCTTCTCTACGGTTACGTACTTATTTATTGTACTCGTAAACGTTTGAATGTTTCGTAAAACACTCGCTTAGAATTCTACTGCCGAAACCCTTCGGATGGAGTTGAACGGAAATTATAATTACCGGAGTTGATTACCTTTGTTTCCACTTTGGGTTTAGTCGTATGCCGATGCACTCTCCATACTTTCGTGAACATGGCGCCGTATGCCATTGAGAAGCCTGTTGCTAGGAGCCACGCCCGGGCAGCGCACAGCCCAGAGAAATGTTGCGGCATCACCCAGCGACCGTCCACGCCCAACGCAATGGCCGCGCTCAGGCAGATACAGCAGCCACATAACATGACCGTGTTACAGGCTGGGTGCGACCACTGAATCACCCTGCACAGAACATATTACCTTTACACTGCAACATACTAGATCGAACAAAAGTTACGAGCCAACGAACCAACTTTAACGACTGCAGCATTGGTTTCACGTAATAAAAACCAAAACAAAGTAAGCGCAAAATGGATTCGGAATATCTCCGCTCTGACATTAAAACAGCACGAGACCCGTTGTTCCTTTTCCTTGTGTCATTTTATATTCTTGTACAATCTTGTTCTATTTTCATTTCCATCGAGAAGCAGTCGAGTAATTTAGAAAGCAATGAAATGTAAAGCAAAACTAAATAAAGATGGAGGATCTCAACACTATCGGAGAGGTCCCCTTTGACTGTTCACTGTGTCAGATCATTTACATTCATCTCATCGTAAATTGCTCGTTTGGCATATAAAACTCCGCCGCGGGGGTAGAACAACGACCGGCGAGCGACGCAGTTGAGATACGTGGTTTTCTTTTAGCTACATTTGTGATCGATAAATATGAGCTTAGATTTTCTAGTTTGTAGTGCAGAAAATTGCTGAATAAAGAAAATTGTAAAAGTTTTTTAATTTTCAAGTTAACTGAATATCTGAATGATAGGATAGGTGAATAAAAACTGATAATTCTATTGTTTTAGAAGTTTTAAAACGAATTTACGATTATTTCAGACATATTCGATTAGATCAAGTCAAGTGGCTTGTTTTAAAAGAGACCTATATCAAAGTCAGACATCATTGAACTCAGCATTAACTCGAGGCTGGTATTTGACATTGACAAAGTTCTAGGAGCTAAGAAATATGGAGTTTCTTACCTCCGATGTCTGTGCAGGATGTTGAAGACAATTAGCGCGATGGCGGCGAGGATCCCAGCGATGCAGAGTGCGGTCATGCACGCAAAAAGCGGCAGAGAAACGGTGCGGAGCTCGTTAACTACGACGGTACGGTCGGGGGGCACCTTCCCACCTGCCCAAATCCAGAGTTATTTCATGGTTCACTTGAACACGGGTGACGCTCGTAAAACGCACATAAACCTATTAGCTATAAATAGAAAACGTAGGAAACTGTAAACGATATAATTTAACTTGTTTTTCCTTTTAACGGACATTTTCCTTGTTGCTGTAAAAAGAATTTTGCTGCATTGACTCGGCGAAAGTAACTCGGCTATTAAAAGTAGTTGGAACTACTCGCTCAGTCCTTTAGCCCTAAGGCAATGTTAAAGGAATTAATAATAATTTCTCTTTTTTGCCTTTGTATGAGGTTTTTGCGTTTGAAGTTGTATTTTTATGTGACCGTGTTTTATGTTAAATTGTGGTTTTATATGACGCTAACAAAAAATATGTGCTTCCAGATTCGGATATGTACAGTTTTGGCAATAAACGTGACAGCGTGAGGTTTAAATGGCCGATTTATGGTTTACAAGATAGATTTTGGTAACACACAGTTTAAAATGTTTTAGAAAAACAAAAAACGAATGTTTTTATGGACTTTTAAAAGATTGGTGTTCACCAACTAATCAAAGTTTGTCATTGATTAAAAGTTATTAATAAAATTTATTTTTTAAAGTTTCTATTGTAATATGGCTACTTACACAAATACTGATTTCATTCCAACTATGAAAATTATAATTATCTAACATTTTAGAACATAATAATAACTATTAACATCTAAGCAGAATTTTAATTTATAACACGAGCTCATTCCATATAATTTTCAAAATATTATCCTCGTTAAAAGGGACGATCTAAAACGTATCTTAATTCATTATGATTTTAAGAATTATTCTTAACTAGCTTCTGCCAGCAGCTTCGCCCGCGGTCCCAGGGGTAAAATGCCTATGTATCACTTCAGACCATAATCTAAATCTGTTCCGAATTTTATTCCGGTCCCTTCACTCGTTTTAATATGACTGAGTAACAAACATACACATAAACTCACATATTTTCATTTATAATATCGAGTCAAGCTAATTTCAACCATTGGCCTTTCAGTTACAGCGTAATCACCGAATTGCTAAGCTATCGGGAGTTTCACGTGTTATTGTGAGTCAACCATAAAAGATAGACATATGCTGTCGAGGAATATTTTTTATATAATTTTAAGTAGAATATTTCCGTCATACATGATTTCTATGCAGCTTTAACCTATAAGCCTGCACACGCGACGGAAGTTTAAAAAATGGAGTAACTTCTCCCGTTTTCCCAATATTTCCCTTCACTGCTCTGCTCCTATTGATCGTAGCGTAATGAAAAGTATACTATAACCTGCCCAAGAGTATGAAGAATAATTGTGCCAAATTTCGTTAAAATCCATCGAGTAGTTTTTGTTTCCATAACGAACATACAGACAGACAGACAGACAGACAAAAATTTTACTGATTGCATTTTTGGCATCAGTAGCGATCCCTAACCACCCCTTGATAGTTATTTTTTAAATATATTTTATGTACAGAATTGACCTCTCTACAGATTTATTATAAGTATAGATAAAGAACGAAGCATTCTAAAATGAATCCGTGACTCGTTTAAATCAAAGAATATTTTTATTTAAAAGTTTTACTGACTCCAAAATTTCATAGCTCTTGAAAGTAAAGGAGCAATCTATAATAAATTCTAAAGTCATATAATTAGGCAACATTGTTAAATAACAGTAATATTAGTAAAACAATCGCACTTACCGACCCAGCGCTCTCGTTCTAACCACGTTAAGTTGTCGGCCTGTGTGTCGTAGTATCCAAGCTTCACATAATGGTTGTCGGTCAGTTGTTCTATCTGAGTCAGCGCTATGCGGTCACCCTGAGACGAAAACGCCACCAAACCCTAATGGAAATATAAGATATATTTAATAACATATCAAACAAACTTGTTGGTCTGAAAAATGTGAATAAGGTGCTTAAACTAAATATATCAAATAATTTTATTTTAAAACGTTGCCCCATACTAAGGCTTTTTCCTGTGTCGTGGGTACGTTTACATATAGAGGTATACAAGTTCACATATACATGACTCCCAGACTCGAACAATTTGAGGATTACACAAAGAGTTGCTCTGTGCGGAATTTGAACCCACTACACGTTGAGCAGCAGCTGGTTGCCCGACCACCGGTCCAACCGTGTCGTCATCTTGGTTGTTTGACCTCTAAATCATTTGATCATTGCAATTAAGCCTTGATGAGCCAAGATTAGTGTATATGGGTGCATTTACAAAGACAATACTTAGTTGACGATACATAAAAATTATGTAAAACCTATATAATGTCTGTTTATCCTGATCCGGAACAATTATCTATAATATTGGTCTCTTGCAAGAATCGTCCCTTTGTCGGTTGCCTAATCGCTTTGCCAATTGTGTAGAAAAAATGATAAATATCAAATTCATGTGTCAAAGTAATATGAAACTTAAATAGCATAGTTCAATGTCGTTATTACAGTTCATAATTACCTGTACTAATGAGTATAATTTAAAGTTTAGCCGAAACTTTATAGATTAACAAATGATTTCGTGGCTCGTTTAACTTTCATATGTTCGCTTAGTTATAAAGTTGAAAACTATGGAATCTTTGCTTTTAGTGGCTCATTAACTGTTGATAATAAGATAAACTACGAGTAAATACATATATCTTGTAATTTTAATAAGTTTTAATCGAAAATTAAGTAATTATTTATTTAACATTTCGGTGAGTGTGTGTGTGGGAATTGCACAACCTTATTCCCCCTAGTCCGTGTCACCATCGTACTACCAGACGAACGGCAGGGCGCGACCCTTATATGGTGGACATTCCACCCATTCGCACGAAGCGTTTAGCATCAAGTTTCCTTGTGCGACCTGCTAAGGAATAGAATTCCTTGCTAGAAACTGTTTCCGGTCAAATACAACTTGGGTGTTGCTCATATGTAGGCGTGTTCCATCGCTTACCACCAGGCGAGATGATTGCCAAACGTCGACCTATCAAGTATTAAAAAAAACTATTTAAAATTGGTTTCAGTCTTCGCGTTTTACGATGTTACCAAAGAGGTTTTTGGGTAACTCAGTCCCGCGAGCTTCCTGTGATATTGTTATGAAAATAGCATCTTATTGATTAAAGCGTATTTTCCCATTTTTCAATCCTTAAAAGGGTAGATCAGTGCAGTTATACACAATGTTAAATCCGCTTTTCACTTGTCATGTAAGGGGTGAGTTCCATGTTAGGGGTGAGCCTACCAGCATAGATCAGGCAATTCCGGAGCTTGTGTTATTACTGGAAAATCACAATAAATCGTGATCTATTATATCTAGGACCTCCTTTTTTCAAATCGGTTAAAAATAGAAATTCTACTTAATAGTTGAATTAGCACTGACAACGAGGTAGTTTGTAATTGTGTAACTGTGTAAGAAGTAACTCTTTTCCTTGACTATTTTTATCTAAACGAATTTGTAACAAGTCTTCAAGTTAACGTGTTTCTTTTTCTGTAGTGGAAGTGGTTTGAAGTTTAATTACTTCCGAAGTTTCGAGTAACAACGTTTTTTCTATTCGACTTTGATTTTTCATTATTATTTTGTATTATTTGTAGAGTAAACACTTTGTTATGAATAACATTTAATATGTAAGACCTTATTTAAACGATCTCCGGCCATCGTAAGCGCTGGCCTGCGGACGGCGAGCATGGGTAGCTCGTCGCCCGACCAGAACCAGACCCGAGCGTACAGCGCGTCGCCGGCCACGCGGGCCTCAGAGAGCCATCAGACCACAATGGATGGGGCCCAATAGAGCTGATGCTGATACGGAGCCGCGGCAGACTTAACGGGTCGCCGGGGCTTGGGATTGAAGGCCAGGAGTAGTTACGGGGTGGTTTTTAGTCAGTAAGAGTTTGACACTCCCTCCCGCTTCACCCAGGCGGGAGCAGTCATTCGATGATTTTCAAACATAACGTTGTATTTTTGATGTCATTTCAGTGCAGTTGTTGTTATACTTTTTATTCAACATTTGATAGTTTTCTATAGTATGTTAATTAAAAGCATAATGAAGTTAATTATGGTTGGCTTCGTGCAGCTCCCAGACGGCGGTTTTATAAAGTAAAAGTGAGGTTCCCCGCAGACTGGTAACTTTAAATCGACCGATAGTTCACTTAGTTTAGATGGTAGATAAAATAAATATGTATGTAGGTTTGTTAAAATATTTGGTTAACAATAATTATTAAACACCGTGGTTAATAATAAATCTTTGTCTCGGTAATACAATAGTTTTACAAAGATAAAATGTTTGAAGCAAAAAATAACAGGTGAAGCATTGTAAGAACCAATCTTTGAATGCGCATAAGAACTCATAGTACATTACCTCGAAGAGGTATTTCTCAGTAGGTGGCGCTTGCGATGCAAATAGTGCCTACAAAGTTACATCTAGTGTCTCATGTGCGTATTTCGATGAATTTATTTTAAAATGAAATGAAAACTCAAACTCTTCATTTTTTAGTTTGACTTTATATATCGAAAGTACTCCTTACGGCAAATTATTTTGCTCCGTGTTATAAATGAAAAAAATAAATCACGGTTTAGTACAAATGTTAGTGATCTGTTCCGGCTTCAATAAAGTGCTATTTCCTATGTCCTTAATTGTACATGTGAAATTTTTGTCCCTTAAGAATATCGTCTTCACAGTTATAACAAAAACGATAAAAATACATACATATAATCCAATTTGGTACAGTTATTCAGAATGTACGTACAGATGCCGACAGAAAGTAGTTTGTATATAAATAAGATAAGTTATTATATGCGCTCGAGCAATCAAATCACAATTAAACTGATCAATAATCAAAATATTTCTGTCTCAATAAAACGCCTTCAAAAGAAAGAGACAGATACTTAAGTGCAAGTTCAAATTGAGTAGCGTTTTGAGTTCGTTCAGGAAGTGTTTTAATTTATGTAAGCAACTCTTATCCACTCCTTTATTAATTATTGAAATGAAGAGAATTCAAAACGTCCTATTGTGTCGACAGAAATTAACTTTATTACGTTATAACTTAAGGTTGAAAATTCCTTAAGGAAATTCACGATTTACCAACTAAATTTTGGCATTATCACTGTCAAGTGTCAGGAGTATCATTAATAGATTTTCTACTTTATTGCAATATAATTTAAGGTTGAAAATGTATTAACTTAATTGACGATTTATCGATTTTTCTTGTCGTTATCTCTGTACGGACTGCTGGTTTTGGTATGTATATTTCTATTGCTTTTCATTTAAAGAAGATTGATCGCTTTGATCACAAAGTTAAAACAAAATGGTGCTATGATTTTGACTGCTTTTTAATCGAGAAGTAGCTCTTTCTTATTGATCATCGAGATGATTGCTACGGGCAAACTCTAGAATAGAAACTTTTTAATAAATAGCTACCTGTATATATATTTTTTTAGAGCAGATAGGTATATGTAATTAATTTAAAAGCAAAGTAATAAACGTGCAAAGCAATATTTAAAAACAAATAAAAAACTTATAAAGCTTTATGACCACAGACATAACTAAAATTCTTCTTTGTTACATCTATGTTTGTGCCTAATCTTTGATCTGTTTTAGATGAAATTATATTACGAGTAATAAACAGTAGTTAATGAAAATAACAGATAATACATTTTACGTTAAAATTAAATTTAAAAAGGCCTTCTGTAAGAGATGGGTGTCCGAAAAAAGGTCGCTTTTAATTTTTATTATAATTTAAACTTTGATATTTAATTTAATAAATAACTCAATATTATTTTTTACAAGCTTTGAAGTTTTTTATTTTATTAATTTGTTGGTGATCTAACAATTTTTATTCTTTACACAACAAACTTGATCTCACGTACCTATCATAAAAATGATCAACGTACAAAATTACTAGCGTACATACATAGAAAAACAAAATATTTAATACATAGTAGAGGTTTAAATAGCTTTATATGTTAACTATTCAATACCTTTATCACTATGTACTATACCCTTGTTCAGCAAATAATGCTATTTTGAATTTGAAAAAATATGTATATCGATAAAATTTGAATCAACGACAGAACGATTGGCACATTGAGAGTGATTGGGTGACTTGATGTTAAAGAACGTCTTGCGGGTTCGATTCTAACAGAACAAGTTATTTGTATGATCAACAAATCTGTAGTCGTTTAGAATCTTTATGTGTAGTGTGTATCTGTGTCATTATTTGTAAATACACCCACAACACAGGACCAAATTTCAGTGTGAGACTATTGTTTCAAATAAAAAGCTAAGAAAAACTTTTATCAGACATTGGTTTTTATAATAACTATCGTGATACATGCTGAATTAACTAGAAATGGCACGATATCACTGCGATCGAACACGCAACATAGCTGTGACAGCGCATACTGCTTACAAGGAAGCGTCTCTCTGTAACACGAAACTAGAAGACCTTTTCTCAGTATATTTACGTTAGTAACTTATAATGTTTAGTTATCATACATTTGTTTGTAACCGTCAACAAATTACATGATTTATGTCGCCCAATGATTTATCGAGTAAACCAATAAAAGTGTACTTAAGATACTATGCAACTGATAACAGTACTCACCGATACACCGAGGAATGACGTCGAGTTTATTGCCTCGTAAATGTCATCGGCAATTTTCTTGTTTGTATATGTGAAGTTCTTCAAACTAAGACCACTTTTCTCTAGTTTCTCCATCGTCTTGTTGAAAGCTGGGGACAAGAGGAACGATTAGTTTATTTGGTACTAGCGACCCGCCCCGGCTTCGCACGGGTGCAATATGCATATCTTATACATATAAACCTTTCTTAAGAATCACTCTATCTATTAAAAAAAACCGCATCAAAATCCATTGCGTAGTTTTAAAGATATAAGCATACATAGGGACAGACAGACAGCGGATGGCGACTTTATTTTATACTATGTAGTGATAACCATGCATGATATGTAATGTATATGCATCATTATAAGGAGGCCAAAGAAACATTAGGGGACAAACGTCCCACGACATGAATCGGCGATATGTTAAGCGAAGCTGGCCGACTTCGTCTGACATAATTATGTATATGGTCACAACGCGCTATGTTGCCAAAGTCCGGGCAACGTCGCGCTACTTCACCCAACGTCGCTGACGACACATCGCAGGACATTAGACCCTTAGTACTTGGCTTAATAAACCATAAGAATGGGTTTGCCATAATCCCGAAAATGGGTAGGTCTTTCGCATTGTAGTTAGATCACCGAAACTAGAGCTGCCTGTTCCTCACTGGTTATAGTATAAGACCCGGGTCACGGCCAAGTTTAACTTTCCTTGTAACAAAACTATTTTACGAAACACAATTATTTGTTGACGACCACGCTATTCATTAATTAGGCACGAAAAATAAATGTTAACTGATAGGTATGCAAATAATTAGATCCGTCTGTTGAGGTTCAAAAGTTTATTCAATCTTCAGTCCTTTATAAGGCACGCTTAGTTCTTGTTTCATAATTATTCGTATACTTAAATAATTATTATTTATTACCTATGAGCTGATTCGATGCTTTGTGTTGAATATTGTGATAAATCGTGATAGAAATAAAAACGATTTCGTATTTTTTTGTTTTAAAATAATTCGGTATATTATCTACCATCGATTTCATGTAACTGATAAAAATAATATTGCAAAAATTAATGCATAATAATAATCTGAATGCCAAAACGTAGTTTAAATCCGCCCAGCATATTTTAGCACGAAAACAACAAAATATCCTTGCAAACTTTCGCTTACATTTTTTGCTTGATTCGTTTAGCACGGGGTATGATACTTGTTGGGCAAACGCCTTTATGTTTTGTCCGTATTTAAGTGTCGACCTTTTGTATGTCACTGCTAGGGATGATACCGCGCATAAATTTGGAATTATCTCCGAGTCTTGGTGACAGTTGTGTGAATTGTGGCTTTGACTTTGTTCTACTAAGCTTAGGGTTGCCACTTGCTACTTTATGGGGCGTAATGATATGTTTCGCTTGTGCATATTGATATTTTAAGATGTTGTTGGGGTTGGGGTACCAATCGTTTTTGGGTCACCGAAATAATGTTTTTTACATATAAAGCTGCAAGACAGTATAATTTTTTCATAAGCAGTTAAAGTAAATAATGACCTAAAACAAATACATAGTATGTTAACTTTTTGCTTGTAATATTTTTTGCTATACAACCCAGGACAGGCTGTGAACTGTGTCAGGTTTAGGGAATACAGCTCAAAACTAGACTTTTTGGCTCGACACTTCATTCAACAGTAATTATACTTTATATAAAACGTTATCTTAAACATTGAGTTCCTGAAATATCTCACTAAATTCATTTCTACACGTCTTATTGTAGTGCTACGAACTACTACGTGGAAGAATCGTAGCGCCGTAGCACGTAGCACGCGTAGTCATGGGCCTACGCGGGTCATTCATTTTAGGCTATGGCATTATCTATTATGATTTTATTGAACACATTCATGGTCATACAAATAATCAAATCAATATGTATGATCTTCGTGACCTAGCGCTTAATATTTGCCATTTGTTTACTGAAATAAGAGCTGCATAGCTATTCTAATTTTAATCAAAAGGACATGTCAATGACATGTTCTTTAAAATATCAGTGTTTGTGATATGAGAACATGTTTAAAATAAAACGCTGAATAAAAATTCAGAATATATTTTTGTTGTTGTTTATGTAAAATCACAGGTTCATATAAAAAATGTAATAAACATTTTGCCAGCAGCATAGCGGTATTTCATTATATCCAAATGGCACTTCGTTAGTTGGTATTCCGATACGCGGAATCGAATGAAATCGTTAAAGTGGACTGGTTACAAATAACTGGGAAATAAAACTAACAAGCTCAAGTCGAGAGAATCGAATTATATAAAACAGTAGATCGAAATTGATGGCCGTTTTATAGAGTCGAGCTTTTTGCAAAAACAGATGGCGATCAGAAAATAGCTATGAGTACTTTGTTGTTTTTGTGGCGGAAAAAAGAGACTACATTCATTATCTCTCTTCTTATCTTCTCTTAATCTTCTCGTGGGTCATATAAGAGCTGATTAAGATATATTTGACAGCGACTGTGAAATTAGCACTCTCTGATAAATCTGGTACTTTTATATTGTGATTTCCAATATACCTGCTAAGCATGGAGACGCTCTTATAAAGAGGAGTCCAATATTATAACATTGGGCATAACATAACATCACGCCTTTTATCCCCTAAGGGGTAGGCAGAGGTGCACATTATGCCACTGTACAATGTAACACCCACTTTTCACTGTTTATGTTATGAGCCCCATGTAATAGGGGGTGAGCCTATTGCCATATACCGGGTACAATTCCAGACTCCGTGCTACTACTGAGAATTTTTTTAAAACCTAGTAATACTTTGCCCGATCCGGGAATTTAACCCGAGACCTCTTGCCTGGCAGTCGCACTTGCGACTACTCGGCCAACGAGGCAGTTACAGTAAGTACAATAACAGTGGACTGTCACTTAAATCATAATAAAACAGTTATTCAGAGTTTTTCCACCCCTTACTTACAAGCACAACTCCTTATCACAGCTAGTTTAACCAACACAAGCAAAGAAAAACGTGTTGCGAGTTGTCAATTGTTATGGTGAGCCACACGTATGGCACGCTGTGTTGTCACGTAATGTAAGACGTGACGGTGGCGCCATCTTTTGTGCTCCCCGAGCACTACACTTGTTAAATTTTATTACGCACATTAGACCTGTCTCACGAAGCTTTCCACAGTTGTTTGAGCATTTCTAATACGTGTATTTATTTCGAATTCTATTGCGAATCCAGCAATAGTCCGTAGTATAATGTTATTACTACAAGAACAACTTTTTGAGATCCCATTTTCTTTTTATCTGTATAATAAAAACGTTTGACAAACTGCTGCAAATAATTCCCGTAATAATCTTTTAGTCACGACGCGACGAAATAGCTCTAGGTCGATAGATTTTATTTTTATCAAATTAAGTAATCATTTAATATTATTGCCGATAATAAATAATAATACAGTGATCTTTATAGTTTTATTGCGTGTTCTAAACGATAGTCAATCTCCTACATTAGCGATGAGACGCTCAATTACTTTTTGACTTTCGATAAAACATGTAACATTATTTCTAGAACCATGAACAAAAAAGTAAGTACAATAAAGCGTAGAAGAAAGATAATTGATAAAAATAAAACACGAGGACACTTGTACAATCGACCATTTTTAGGAGCCTCGAGCGAAACAATACTAAGGCCACAGATATCTAAGAAGTTTTTCTTATAAGCTACTTGTACATAAAATCGGAGTACGTACCCAAAGCGACAGCCCAAACAGCGTCGTAGGCCAGGGGTGCCTCTTGATATCCCTCCGGATATCTCTCGCCGTCGATGTCGTAGCCAGCTTCGCGCAAAGCCCCGTTCAGCCTCGTCCTGTTTAGATAAAAACAATGTTTTTGTTGTACCAAATCAGACGGCCTACTTCTAAAGGAAATACAGAACAAGGATTTAGGATTTTGTTTGATTACGCTGTTTTTCTGTTTATCATTAACTCCGTATCGTGTTACATTGGAAAAACAAAAGAAATGTTCTTTTCCAATAAAATGGTGCTTCATTTGTTTAGGGTGATTTGGTTTTTTAATTAAATAAACGGACACGTAGGTAGCTGGAAATGTTGTTAGTGGCAACTGGCAATCCAGGTTTCGTATTGCGCACTAATGATTACCCGCATTATTAAATTTCATTCGAAAGGTATAATCGATTAAACATTCTCAATTACATGTTGTGTTTCGATAACCAGAAATTCTATGCATTGTTTAGTCATGCTAATATTTGGATGCGTGTTTGTAATTAGACAGTCATTTGCGAAATGGCTACAAATGAAGTTTTTATTCCACACTGATTGAAAATCAACGGTATTTTGAGTGAACGGGTTTAGTTTGCCCGTATACTATCGTTAGTTGAGTTCAGTTGGTTGAGTTGATTGTTAAATGTGGTGATGAATGAATACTCTTCACTTACTTATGGAAGGTTTATTATTCGCACAGTTACAATTTAGTAATAGTTTTAATGATTCTCACAGAGAAGCTTGTTGAACGTTGGCTGTTGTTTTGTTGTTGTTAAAAAATTTGCCCCACAATAGGGTTTTCTTCTGTGTCGTGGGTGCGTTTACAAACATACAAGTTCACATACAAAATGACACCCAGACCCGAAACAACAATTTGTGGATCACACATAGTGTTGTTCCGTGCGGGAATCGTACCTGCGACACGTTGCGTTGCACGGCAGCCGGTTGCCCAGCCACCGCACCAACCGTGCAGTCTAGTGTGTGTTGTACACACACTGAAGTTAGTTTTAATAATTATTACGAACTAAGTGAATCGACCGATATGCTTACTTAGCTTGATGTCACGACATGAATGTACGTAAACCGTACAATGGAAAAGTAATTTGTCTAGCGTAAGAAATGAGGAGTTCAAAATCGACATAAATTCTTTTAAATATGTAGGTATTAAAAACGATTCTTTGTTATTAGTCTCCAAAAAATGTTGTAACATAGCTACTTTAAAAACACGTCATAATTTCGTTTATTCTACTAGTTACTTTTACCTAATATATTTTAAGTAAGACTTGTTCCATTCCGTTGGACTAGTCAGTCGAGCCTTTGAAATTTAAATTGTCAATAGACATTTGAAATTGAATGTTGCTAAAAATATCTTTTTGTACGTGACTCTTAGTTGCTCCACGTTTTAGATTATTGGATTTAATAAAAATACATTTTAACTTGTATTAAATAATTTGGACTTATTGAAGAGGCAGAATAAATGCTATTCGAAAATATAGGTGTTCGTCTTATAGATATTAAGTAAGCATTTATATAGAGAGCGTTCACTTAAATACTAATGCTATGCAAATAAGTAAATGGTTTGTTTTCTGTTTCGAAGAATGTTTCGATTTATTTTAATATAGGTAAATAAAATAATTGACACGCATTTTTTTAATGGGACGAGCCCGCCACAACCTCCCAAAACCGCTGCAACTTCTGTAAGCCAGGATCTTCAGTAGATACAACCATGAAAACACCGGAACACTAAAGTCCGGCGCGTCCCAGGAACATGAGTAACTGTCTTGGTTCCCGCAACGAAGTGAATCAGAAGATATTTACATGCATTACAAGCAATTGACCGTTATAGGCCATTAATGATAATGATAAAGATTACGATTGCCTTCTTAGTTATGTGGTAGCAAGTAGGTAACCTCTAGTTCTAGGTATCAAGCATTTGAACTTGTATTTATTTTGTTTTGATGATTATTAATTTTGTGTTTGACACCATAGTCTGCGTAAGTGAACGCATTTAATTTTAATCCAAGGTTGTATTAGAAAATCTCGACAGCATAATGCAGCTCAAAAATAACCCCACTTTATAATATTCCCCCTGTTTCAAACAAAACTAGTTACAGCAAAATATAAATACATGACCGCGTAAAAACTCGTGGCAGTACGTACTGTAAACTCAAAACTGTACTCTAGGGGCCTGGAAATATGAGTGGTTACACAATACAACGGTATTACACTTGCAATGACGTAGTGTATACGTACTCGTATATTTTGTTCGCTTAGCAACAGCGATGAAAAGCTTATTGCAGTGAAACCCGGTGAGAGACCGACAGTACTTAGCTTTGTTTAGAAGAAGTACGGCGGCATTCTTTCTTTTACTTTTTCTAAGAAGTGTGTTGCAAAGGATACGAGGATTGGTATTCCAGCTTTGAAATATTAACAAACGTATGATGTAAGAGTACGAACATCCTTGAGCTCCAATTTCACGAAGATGGAATGCGTTTTACTTCAGTGTAAATTAAAAGTCGTGTCAAAAGTAAAGTGGGTTTATGACCGCGGCTCCGGCTCTTTGCTCTACTTAAAGTTTAAAAATGTGAGATTTTAAGAGAGTGAAGAATTATTGGGTTGCTAGCATGGTTTCTGAAAGTTGATGCTTGGTAAATAGTATTTAATTTCAACGCTGACTTTAGATAATAATATACGACTTAAGCAAAACAATCATGCATTATTATAAAAAGATAGACATCATAATATCACCAAAAATGTTTAAGTACTCAATGTATATTGTGCAGATTAATCAAACAATCTATACATATAAATAAAATTGGAATGTCTAATTGTTATATTAAAATAACCGCTTTTTACTACATTTGTATAAATATTACGAACGATAAACATACCAATATAACATTTTTTTACAATTTTGGTCTGTCTGTAAGTCTGTCTGTCTGTTTGTCTGTTTTTTTGTTCTGGCTAATCTCTGGAATGGCTGGACCGATTTAGCAAAACTTTTATTGGCAGGTAGCTGATGTACTAAGGAGTAACATAGCCTACTTCTATTTTGGAAAATTGAAATAATAGAAAGTTATGTTCTAAAATGTATATTCTACGCGGACGAATTCACAAGCAACAGCTAGTAAATAATACATACCTATTCTAGAGCAAATATCGAGAGTCAATTATATCTAATACCATTAGTAGCATTACTCTCGAGAGACAACGAATTGATATTCTATCTACAGAATATAATGTTGTACATTATTTTATATTCAGCCCATTAATTCTCGCCGCAGAGACAAGCCTATATAGTACATGTATAAGAGGATTTAGTGGGAATTTTGACCGGATTATTCTTATCCTAGTCTAGCGACCCCCGAGCTTAGCTCTTAGCTAAATAGAAATTGATAATACAGTAAATACAGTACGTGTACTGAGCGTTTTTAAAAGGTCTCTTGTAGGTCAAAATTGAGGATTTTATTGTTTCTTTTTGGTGGAAGAATTGGTTGTACTTGTACGATAGTGATGCAGTTCCATATCTCGGATAAAATTGAGTACTTTCAATTATAAAAAAAATTTTTTTTCGTCTGTTCAATATAATAAATTTTTTATAAAATAATCACACTTTCATGAATTGATTTTATGACCTGCTTAGTGCTTCATTTTGCACCAACCGTGCAGTCAAGTTATTGTTTCCAATGTGATCTGTGACATGTTATTTGAAATATCCACTATACGGAATAAATACTCATTGAATGATAACATTTCGTTAAAGCAAACGAAGTTACATAGGTAATCTATATCTAAATTCATATAATAAGGCTTTGGTATAATTTAAGCATTTTGTGATTTATCGTAAATGGTAGTGCAACATTGGTTTCCAATCTTAAAAGTCTGTTAGAATCGTAAGCTTTAATAGTCTCCACTCATCTATAAATCATCACTACTTGTGCTGTAGCTAAAACCATACACGGTTATGTTATTACCTACACGCACCTATAAGTCAACCACAAAGTTATTCAACGAAATAAAACTCACTACCTAAGTAACACGACAGTAACGAGTTAGATAACTTTAAACCGATAGTGTAAGTCTGTGAAGCTCTAACATTTCTAAAAGAATAATTGCTCTCAGTGCACCAGGTACCTCATTACGTGCGAGGGTCTCCTACTCGTTATTAAAACTTCTTTCTATTTCATCACAAAGGAACACCCTGTAACGTACGCGAACAACGCACTACGGCGGAGCCACCATCGCTTTATATTCCTACATTTTTTCCACCATTCCGAACAATTACTATGCTAATGTTCACTGAAGCATATTTTATTATCTTTGCCGAGTACAAAGGATATCGAAAAATACGCGAGGAAAGTTAACGCAGATATGACAATAAAGTCCCGACGCGATTCGTGGTATCGCATTTATCTCTAGGCATTTCCAACTTGAAGTGTCGCCTCGACGACGAACGAATAGAATGTAATGTTTAACCGCATTAAACCTTTTCTCTGTGTATTTTTATATTGCACCTTAGGGTGCGTTCGCATCTGCCGAACATTACATGAGCCGCTCGCGAGCCTTGCTCGGCTCCGCGAATGCACAGTTCGCGAGCCACTCAGATGTGGACGCACCCTTAGAGAATCTCATTGCACTGATTGAGAAGTCTCTATGAGTATTTATAGCGCCGCTGTGTACATTTGTTAGTTCATATTGGCGTTCAAATTTTAGTGGCACGGACAAAATACCAACTAATACATGTGCCACACAATTTGAACAAACATGTGTGCACATGTCTGGCGCTGGCATTAGAACAATTTCAAAGGAAATTATTATCACGCACATGACGGATGAATGTCTCCAAGAATAACAAGATTGTTGGAATATTTCAGACGAAAATGGATTTGTTTTTCTCGTCCTTTAAAGGATACCAACTGCCTGAATAAATAAATTGAATATTTTATTTATTCTAACGAGGCAATATTTCAAAGCTATTTTTATTAGTCTCTTAGCTTATGTTTGTGTAATATTTGTATAGTTAAAATAACTTACCGAAAATCTTCTGACGTCATTCCCGAGATGGTGGTCTGGTTGGAGTTCTGGTTCCACATGAGAGCCTCTGTCGTCAGGTGACCTTCGGCAGCTTCTCGCATCTGTTCAGGTGTGCAGTCTATACCTTCTTTCTCCAAGTTTGTTTCGAACCAGTTGTCTTCGTACCAACCTGATAAAAACAACAATGTGACATGAGTTTTATTGTTAATATATAAAAAATATATATATTTTTACTTCGGAAGGTATTTACAAAAGCGCAAAAACAAAAGTGAAACAAATTATCAAATTAACAAGAAAACTACGTCAATTTTACTTTTTAAACATTTCATGATCCGAACTTTGGCCATTAAACCAGTAGCCACGGTTCTTATAGACTCATTGGGGAAATTCATTAATTTATGTAATTACTTAGAAGCAAAGGAGTTCTCTTAAGCCGAGGGAAATCATTACTTAAGCAGCTGATTCATTTAATTAAGTGAAGCTACACAGATGAAACATATTGGTGTTCCTTCTAACTTCCCAATCAGCTATTGAGTACAACCGCCTACGAATCGAGCTATACTAAACCAATTTATCATGACCTCACTTCGCATGATCTTTCCGTACATTCACCGGCCAGTTTATACTGGTTTCGCATACCTTGATTTGCGGGCATGTACAATCGGTAACAGAAGTAGGTTAATTTTGGCCAAACTTTTCGATGAAAATTTATGAATGTAAACTTTATAATTATTACTTGTTCTAACAAATTAATGAGAATACTTTGGAGACTCGTTGTTATGTACCTACACAAGATATATTGGTTAATAATATCAACTTGAGTGAGTTTCCGAAATAACCGAATTTTGTGCTGGCCTTCAGTGATCAGGAATGAGAGAGATAGCGTTAGCAGGGAAATATAACTCTGTCTCTTTCTACAACAACAGCGTAATAAAATCATGTTAGTACATAATCCGGCCCTTGAAAGAACTACACATCGAGTTGTACGTATCCAGTATATCATGGTCTCTTTTTGTTTGATCTTCCTACATACTCGCCGGTCAATTTATACTGGTTTAGCATAGCTTAGTAAGTTTTAGGGAATGCGCGTCCCAAGGTTGGGCTATAGGCCCTCGGGTCACGACGTCAACATCACTTCTCATCTGATCCCTTACAACGGAGAATTGTGAATTATCAGCAACAATGTCAGAATTCACATTGTTTATTATACGGTCATTGGAAACTTTTGTACCCTTTTTTGGTTTGTATATTTGAAATAGTTGTCTATGTATGGGGACAGAATTGAGAACAGGGAATTTTGTTTTTACTACTGCTGATAAATTAGTATATTGAAATTGATAGGTTTTTGTCCAGCAGTGGACGTCTTTCGGCTGTTGATAATGGTGATGATGACGACCATGATTGAATCCTTTCTAATGTTATAAATCAGAAAGTGAGTTTGTTTGTTTGTTTGTTTGTTCCGCTTTCACGCAGTAACTACTAAACCGATTGCTTTGAATTTTTGCAGACGTAAAGTTCGAAGTCCGGATTAAATAATAGGGTACTTTTTATCCCGGAAAAATAAATATTCCCGAGAGAAAACAAAAGTATTGGTATAGATGGCGCTGTGTGTATTGGTATATATCACATAGGCTACTTTTTATCCTTTTGTGACGCGAGCGAAGCCGCGGGTAAAAGCTAGTTTGATTATAATATGTAATTTAAGATTACAAAATACATAAAAATGCTGTCATTTAATTACATAATCAAACATCACGCCTTATATCCCCGAAGGGGTAGGTAGAGGTGCACACTGAAGTAAGACCCACTTTTCACTATTTATGTTATTACATTAGTCCCATGTAATAGGCGGTGAGCTTATTGTCACATACCGGGCATAATTTCAGACTCCGTGCTCCTACTAAGATTTTTACAAACCCTGGGATTCGAACTCGAGACCCCTTGACCGGCAGTCACACTTGCGACCACTCGGCCAACGAGGCAGTCATTAAATTAGTTTTTGGATACGTGTAATTATACTTTTATTTCAGTAATTAATTACTTTGTCAGTGACCCAGTAATACCTTTGTATTTCGACCGGACTACACAGATACACGAGGCTATTTGTGCGATTGTATTGTATCGTAAATTGATTGTTTCTATTGAGTGTTCTATCACTACTTACGAGGATCTGTCGGGCTTTTTATAAAGTTGGCTTTTATATACGGACCGATGAGCAATCCAGTATCCACTTACAATCGTTTTCGCTTCGAGAACGATAGCGAAAAACATCACAAAAACACGGATATAATGATAAAAACGTGACAGGCTAAACCTCAATTAGGGTGATCAATAAAACCACGTTCCTTTGAAGATAAAATATGGAAAAAATAATGTTGTACAACGAAAAAAATCCGTGAAAATTTGTTTTAAATTATCTCCTGCTTAAAAAGAAATGTCGGAAGATATGATTGGGTTTCGAAACGCACAGGTCCATTAAGTAAAGATCTATTCATTACCTTGACCGTTAGTGTGAAAATATGAATGACTAGAATTATCATAATGCCAATTATTTATTCAAGAATAAGCGGGAAATTATGTTTCTTTATTTAGCGTCCACGGTGGAGCTCACCCTCGGCCATTATTTATCTCCATTCTCTATCCATTTCCTTTGTCCTGTTTGTTGGAACAAATGTATGTTTGCTGTGTCATCTCGGCTTTGCTTCAAGTTATGTATTTCCATGAAAGTCGAGCTAAATGTTTTTGAGTGGCAATATAACTTTTTCATACTTCTTATAACATTTCAAATTACGTCATAAAAGAGTCTTGTCTTCGTTCAAAATTTTTCTACTCGCTCAAAGTTTTGACCCGACGGCGGTTTTATTTGTTTGTGACAAATAAGGTTTTAAATAACATTTTTTCTTTTTTATTCTCTGGCTGAGTTTATTAGCGTTTTTTATCAGTACACGTTTAAATTAAGAACAAGTTCTTTGTTGTATTCATTTTATTCACGTGGTACCTACATTTTACATTTAATTGTATGCTGAAGCACACATATACGATGTCAATATTGTATGAAGTGGGTTCAGTGAAACGATTTACGTATCAAGTATTTTCGGAGACATGGGCATGATTGAAATTTAAATGAATGTAAACTTTTATTTTATTTAAATTCAAAATAAATAAATACGTAAAAATATTCGAAAATATTTCAACGTTAGCTTGATCATAGTAAGTAGCTATAAAGCATAAAATTTTTGCGAACACGGAACTCATATTTCCTTCAAGTTGGGGAACGTGTCGATTATTTTTATATGAAGTGATCTCTTAGTGGGATATTTTATGCCGTAATAAAGTTTTATTACGGAAGAGAAAAGATTCTCGGAGCCTATATTAAGGGCAACCGGACGTTGATAACCTGCCGAACTTGGGCTGACGTACCTTTGGCAGGACGCCAATAAGCCAGCCGCACAAGTGTGTACACTTATCTACTGAGTCTCGGGACCCACCTTGAACTAATTTGGCCCACTGTTCACGGCGAGTGTACATAAATATGTTGACTTGAAACGTCGCCGAATTATAATTCCGAGGCACGCTCTACTCATTATTGTGAGTACAACGCTGCCAATGTAGGCGTGAATATACCTCATTATACTAAATCAATGTGGACACAGGAGAGGAATGTAAATGCTCCTAAATTGGATACATTAATGAGAATTGATTCAGAAGACAATCACCGAAACGGGCGTCACGACGCGCCTGCTGCGGCGGCTCGCTATCATGAATACGCAAATGGAAGTTTATTGCGAGTGTTTTCATTATATTTTATGGTAAATATTTAAACCAGGTCAAAACAAAGCTTTTATCCTGCAGCCTCGTTGGAGTCGTGCTTACCGACTGTCGTCCCCTAGGACGAGGGCCTATATGAATAAATTAAATAAAACACATAAATTGACCAAAAACTGCCTTCCCAGCGAACGAACTTGGGAGGCTGTTAAACAAACTTTTTAAATCGAGTTGACATATTAGAACGAGTACGCTCGCAGAATTTTCGGTAACAAAACCACTTTTAGATTGTTCCAAACGTGGCTGTTACTAAATACTGAACTTTATTTTATGTTGGGTAATTGCGTTTTGCTTCGTTTCAGGTACCTACACACTAGATTAACTGTACAAACTTTTCCGAGTAAGATAAACTTACTTTTTAACGCGTTTTTTTATAGTTAAGTACACCTTGTAAATAGCATTCGTTTTCTGTTTCATTTTATTACTATGTAAACGAGTGCAGGGCTATTAAAAAGGGTTTATTAACATGTTACAGCAAAACATTGCTAAATGATCCATTGAAATTGTAATTACTTTCTCGTCTCTTGGGTCGCTGTTTTTTATCGTTTACCTGGATGAATAAAACATTTTCACGTTAGGAAATTAAATACTTTGGGGCCATGTTATTAACTATAATAGTCCCATTAGCTGGGTACTGACGGAGACTGACCCAAGGGTTTTGTTCTCATAATCCATCGTTTCCACTAGTCTGCGAGAAGCAGTCGTTCCTCAAAATATCCATTCTCTTATTTTATTAGACTCCCGAGTGTCGTTAACGACCGCTCTTCCTCAGTTCTTCACTTTATCTAAGATTTTTTCCACTTCCATTACTGTCGCAGCCTGTGGTTTATCCTCAAGGGATTCATTCGAGAAATTCATTAATAAATATCTCGTCGACAACTACCACTTATTTATTACTGGGTAGCAACTAAATAGCTAAATGAAAAGACGTTGTGTTGCTGTGGTAAGTGTGTTAAAAACTCTTTGTTGCGATTATAGAGGTGTAAACTAAAAAAAAAAAACAATTCTCAGAATCACCACACGTGCGGTTAATCTTCGAGTGTTAATGTACATCCATGTAAAAGGGATGCCATTGTTGAATCATCTAAAGTTGTTTGAATTATCTTTAAAATTTTAAGTGTGGGAGAGCCATGCTTCGGCACGAATGGGCCGGTTCGACCGGAGTGATACCACGGCCTCACAGAAAACCGACGTAAAGCAACGCTTGCGTTGTGTTTCGTCGTGTGAGTGAGGTTACCGGAGGCCCAATTACCCTTCCCTTCCCTAATATCCCCAATTCCTGAATCCCCAAAGATCCTCAAACTCCTAATCCCCAAAAGGCCGGTAACGCACTTGTAACGCCTCTGGTGTTCTAGGTGTCCATGGGCGACGCCGATTGCTTACCATCAGGTGGTCCGTCTGCTCGTTTACCGGCTTATGCCATACAAAAAGCAGTTTGAAGATCGAATTTGATTGTAAATTTCATGTTTTTGTATAAAGAATCAGTGTGACATCTCAATAAAATTCTAGATAACCAAGAACTTTTGATAAATGAAAGAAGGAATATCGTTTCGTCTGTCCCAAATGTAATAATTTTAGTATAACATGTTACATGAATATTATTATTACTTTCTTAGACGTAGCTTGAGGCATTTTTATTAGCTGGAATATTAATACTTATTACAAAAAACTAGGTAAGTACGTATGTAGCTACATTTACGTTATTACATTTTCGAGAAAGCTTCGTATTTCTTTTTTATCCTTCTTCATAAACAATTTCTAAATGAGTTGTATCCGCGACAGCGAATGTTGCCACTCTCAAATTATTTCTTTCGCAATATTGCCCACAATAAAATTTATAACGCTATGACTTATGCGGGTTTCCCTCGTTTTAATGATCTGCTGGGATTCTAACTTGGGTTTGACATTTATGAGTTCGAGAATACGTATTTGAATTTAGAAAATGTATATTCCGAGGTTTTTAATGTGTAAAATGTGTCATGGCCACAGATCGATGCATAAGTGTTGTGATTGTTGTAATTTTGTTCTAATCGCGTGCAATGATTGTTTTTATATCGATTTTCACGTGAGCGATTCTTTCTAGGTTTTGTTTGACGATTGAATCGTGGCAATACAAATCAAAGTTAGAATTTACTTACGTTTCAGATTCAACTATTTACGATTTCAAAGATATTCAGAATTTCTATTAGTAATAATAATTATGAAAAACTATAATTAAAATAAGCGTCCGTTATACTATTGATTGAAAAAGAGTAACCTATGGAATTTTTTGCTTGTTTTTCTCCATAGGAATCTATACCATGGAATGAGCAAATAATTTTATTTTAAAAATTTTTTAGAAATTAAAAAGTACCTGGTCTGATTGAAATAAATGATTTTGACTTTGACTTTGATGTGTTTACTTTGAATAATCGCCACGACATCAATAAAACTCTTTTGTTACACAGTTACGCATTCGTGGCGGTTATGGCACGTTCAGGACCGTTACGCGGCTGAGTTTCATATTTCACTTCCCAAATTACTTTTGGAACATAAAAGAAACAAAGTGAGAAAAGGTAAAATATATGATCTGGACAAAATATACGTTTGCGTCGCACTTATTTCTCACCGAATGCAAAACGTGTTTTTGTGCGAAGGCCACCGTAAGCCGTTTCCTGGAAAAAGAATTATTACGGTTCTAGAACCTCTAACAATGTGGAAATCTAAAGGAAATACTTTAAAGTTTTTTTTACTTTTTACAATCAGTATTTTAAACAAAGTTGGAAAAATATGTTTTGATAAATTGCAGTTCTTTGAGTCGAATATATATTCGCTTTGAACGCGCTCATACTTTGTCGGGAAATTTTAAAAGAGCTGTAAAGTATAGAACCTCACTAAAACTGGGAACATCCGTGTGTGGGGTGCAATTTCAATTTCAGCGAAAATGTAAACTGTATTGCGGCATTGGTTTTACTGTGAATAGAGAAAATAACACGTAAGTAAATAGGATTGCAAGTGCAATATTTGGGCTCGGTTTGAGCTAGACGTCTTTACTTTAGTTTTACTCATAGATTCATTATTGAGTATGCAATTAAATTAAATGTCATATCGAGTTCGAAACCTACCAACGGCAAGTCCAATGCGACTTTTTCCGAGTTATATATACTTTCTAAAATTATCTAGACACCACTGATAAACGGTAAAGGAAAACACCGTAAGGAAACCTGGGCATATAATTTCTAATTATAAGTTTGCAATCGCCAACCCGCATTGAGCAAGCGTGGTGATTAATGCTCAAATCTTCTCCGAGTGGAAAGAGGCTTTGCTCAGCAATGGGCATTTATAGGCTGTTGATGTATGAAGGATGAATTAAATTGTACCAAAATTAAATGAATGCTTAGAACAAACATTCTATAACCGCTTTCAGAGTAAACAAACGTGAGTTAAATATGCTATATAGTCAGGAAATATCCGTAGTCACACATTGCAAATATCAAGTGAACTTGGTGAAGCTAGTCACAAGGGAGGCTGACTTGTAGTCATATTATGAAATTATAATACTGTCGCTTCGTGTTGGCGTTCCCATGAAAAAGGATGATCTTTCGCTTATGTGTCAGTGCCCGGAGACCGGGTTTTCGGATAATGTTATTTACGGATTTACCTCCAAATAAGTGAAATCCCTCTAGGGGTTCCGCAAGCAAATGTTAAACAATTTTCCCAGCGTCCATTTTTGTGGCAAACGCTTCTTTAGTGTTTTGTAGCTAAGGTTTTGTTTTTGAGGAAGCTTTAGGTTTAGAAATATCACATTATCATGTTAGATAGTTTAATTCGGAGGACATTATCGTGTATAGGGCGCATTCAAACAGTGTATATATAAATACACATTTATATATAAAACTATAAAAGATTTCATATTGCCTGGAAGGAACACAGGAGAGGTATTCATAGTCAGTTAAGTTAGTCAAATCTTTAGCGTAAATATGATCGGTCTATGAGTAATATTGTATTGGCACTAGGTAATCATAACACATAGTATATGTAGTTAAAGTAAGACTTACCAATAAAAAACCAGACATAAGACTTTCCATACAGGCGATGTTTGTAGACTTCACAAAGTACTCGACGCGCCGCGACCACATAGAACAAGCCGACGATGACGCGAGCATCTTGACGCCTCAGGTTGCGCACGGCGTCCGCTGGGTCTGATAGAAACGACTGCCGAGTCACGATCTCAATGCCAGCCTTCTTGCAATGCGCTTCTAAGTCTTCTACAGTCTGTGGAATAAAGTGTCAGTTAGTAACTAGCTCTAGTATTTTCACTTGACTGTACATTTCGAACATTAATAAAGTTAGCATTTAAAAAGCTTAGTCCAAGAGGACCATCGTAAGACGGATATCTCGGATATTAACGTCTCAGTGGAAACATCACACTCCACTGACTTTCGTTCCATTGAAAGCCAAAAGTAAATAAATTACGAGTTCAAAAATTACATGTTCCTAAGGCCGACTCGAGTCGATAGGATCATTCGAAAGGAAATTCGAATCGAACTGAATTTTCCTAACTCCTCAAATCCAGAGTACTAAAGTAGCTACGGAATAAGTGTTTGTATGTAAATTGGACCGTTGAGGGTTTTTGCTGTGATCCCCGTCAATACGAACGAAAATGAAAACCTTTATTACACAAATATTTGGGGCGTCAGTTGTTTTTATGTGCGTGAACTCTAGCAAAAATATTTCTTGGCCGCCGTGAAAGGAAAACAGGAGCGCAAGAACGCTTCAAACCCACTTATGCAGAAAAAACCGGGGCCGCTCTAATTACATTGAAACCAGCGTGAAAGGCCTCGCTCCATTCATTGCCGGTAACTATACACTATACACACCCTTCGTTATGCTCGCGTACGCTATATAAATACGTGCTTTTACCTGACAAAAACGCCTACAGCCTCGATGCATAAACCTAGTGCTACAACATTATATTTCATTTTCACATTCTCATAGAGAACAGAGTCGTTAAACTTTTCAACTCTCCGTGAACTGAAATAACTTAAAAAAGATTTATTGTGAGAAGAAAGCAATGTATTTTATTAAATGTCCACCTCTTTTCGGGTATTAGCGCTAAGTACCTCTTAAGAGAAAAGGTGGACGTTTCGTGAATTTTATTTAGATTGGCTTCGTGTTCGCTAGCTTCGGTATTACTTGAACCTATAGGTATCTATGTATGTAACAGGGTTTGTACTTGTATTCTTATTACATGAAACATGTTTAATTTGTGCTTTTAATCTGAATTCTTACATCGCATTGTTTATCCTTTTGTATAATAATTCTTTTATAAAAACTATGTTTAACAATACCGTCTTCAACCCCCTCTTTGTTAGAAGTCGGTAAATTTATATACCAAAACCTTCTTCTAAGTGTAACAAACATTTTTTCTGATATACACACATTTATACATACACACAGGTTCACCTGTATATAATATGTATGTATGTATAAATGTGTCTCAGTTTGAAATGAGAACCTGTTTTTTTTTAAGTCGGTTAAATATGAAGTTACATCGACCGTAACTTGAATATTCTAAGTACTTATTTTTAATCAAGTACAATCTACATTATATGCTGTAAATCCTTTTACAACTTAAAAGATAATTGGTAAAATATAGAGTCCTTGTCGCAGATTTACAATGACATAAAGGGGTGTCTTTATCACAAATTTTCAGGTTAAGTATAAGATAAAAAAGAGAGTAATCGTGAAATTGTTGGTTCACATAACGATAACCGGGACGTTAACGGCATTTTTATAATATCATATAATAACTTGAAGCCACAGAATTAATATCGGAGTTTTATTACACAAACAAAGGCTGGAGGACAGGAATAAACAGATAAAAATAAACATGTAGGGAAGAGAGCTACTCATAAATATTGCGATATGGATATATCTCTTATAGAAAACACTTTCAGGCGACTTCACTTAGATTTGCTTATTCCTGCTAACTCCGACCGCTATGCCTGAATAAATACCGTTCCATCTATGAAAGTATTCGCGAAGATACGCAAGTCGGATTCAGTAAATACTTACGCCTTCGTATCATATATTTTCACTGTTTGAATTTCATATTGTGGCTAAAATTGGAGTATAGGGAGCGAGTATGTCGGTAGAGGGTGTCGCGTGGAGGTAAAAAATGTCCAGTTACATCCATTTATCATGTAAGACGCATTGTACTCGCGGCTCACTCGGGGCGATTATTTTCTCTTTATAACCATTGTTACATTATACGTTGGGTACGTAGGTTTTAATACGTCCGGCAATTCTAAACGACTGTTTACTAAATGGATTGTTAAGTCGTAACACGGGATGTAATGTGTTGTGTGAGAGCCTTTAGATCCGCAAAGTCATCGTTGTGATAGTTATTTTTTGTAGTGTCTATTGTAGTTGAATGATACGTTTTTATTTTATTTAGTATAGCGGTTTTTGTCGAAATCTATTCTAGAATATATTATGTGCAATTTTGAAACTAAATTGTTATTCAAGTGCATTCTGGGAAGTGAGTGTTGCAGCCGTCTTTGTTTACGAACCTATCTCCACACTCGACATGAACTGTTTACACGTGAAAATTGCTCACGTAGCCACGTCGAAGGAAATTGAAATTTATATAACACTTCCTAAAGCTGAATTCCGTCGTCCTACATTGTAGCGAAGTAACATGAAATACCCGATAGCCAGTATTAATAAATTGTATCCACAGAATATAATATTTTACAGACTAGTCGCGTGTGACTTACGGAAAAAGTCTAATATTTCTCGCTTCGTCCGCATACATTGTATCAGTGAACACAGACAACGTACTGTCTCAATTTAATATTCCGTTTACTGGTTATCGATAGTTGAATCGCAGTATTTTGTTACATTTGCTCATATCGAAAAATTTGCAGACGTCCGCAAATGGCCTTAGCGGTTTCAAATACATTATGAAGTCGAATTCGTCGATCCGTCGAAGGCCAATCATGAAGATCGTTTGTCAATCGGCAACAAAGCGCTTAGCGTGTCATACTCCACTCGATGTCGATACGAACAACTGTCGATCGAACAATTTAAGTCACGCAAGCGTTGGAAACAGCCGACACGATATGGTACCCGTACATAATCACTCGTCGCCATATCACTTTATATTATCGGCGCGTTCGCTGCTCCACAGGTTGAATTATCGAAAGCTAATGTAATGTAAAGATAACACGTGTAGCAGGCGAAGACGCGTTAGTTTGTACAACAGTGAATAAGATACGAATATGTTTTCCTTTTGTGTCATCTATCTCGTTTTACAATACCCTAAGCATCGAAATCTATTATGGCGGTTGAAATGGTTCGAAACGGGAGAATAAATTTAAGTTTGCCCATAAAATTGGAACGTTTTATCAAGGGAGACGTCATGGCTGAGGAGACGCAAACTCGGCCCGGTTCGCTGCGGCCACAATTACTTTTCTATTTCTTATGTAAACCTCCGTTCTATCTTCGCGCTTGTCCGAGAGCAGAAATGACAGAGTTTTGCAATGACAATTAATTATGATAATATTCCGTTCTTGATGAAAATTTACTTAAGACAAAGTTTTTTGAAATAGCATATACTTAACGCTAATTGCTTTATGAATTAAAATATACGAAGTATAATTTTCTTATTAAAATTATCGTGGTTTTGTAATTGAGGAAACTGAACAACCCAGATGAAATAATTGAACGGAAAAATCCTTAATAAGTATTACTGAGACGGCTAGATTGGTTTACTTACTGATATAAAGACTTCTTCTGCCTGTTGTAAGATGGCGATGCGTGACCATCCGAATTTCTGCATGAGTTTGATCCGAGTAGGGTTGTGAACCGTTGCTGATGGATGGGTGCGGAATAGCGTTGGAAAGCGCGCGCGATCTGACAGCGCTGGTGATGACGCGCCGTAGCAGAGCTGAGGACATAAAAAAGTGTCAATAAAGTTTTAAATATACATAAAAATGGCTAATGTATAACAAAAATGTCATAAACGCCACAAAAAAGGTTAAATGCTTTTGTTAAGATTGTTAGATCACAATTTTATTTTACCAAAGTCGACAATCGATGATTTAGTATTAATACATAAACGTGATAACAGTCTTTCTCGAAACATAAAAGAGCCAAAGTAATCATTTCGTCAAAGCATATTAACCCTTAAACGTTCGAGTAAAAATAATAAAAATTAATAGCTTTGCCACCCTGTTTATAGGGATTAATTTTGCACTTGACAGGATTTATGTCACATTACAATAAAGTAGAATGTGGTACTGGATTTCATAACGTACAAAAATTCTTTCGCGGATCGCGACACTCTGTCTCATGGGGGTGACAAAATGATATAACAGTACTTTCGTTTTGAAAAATTGTTTCTTTTTGGTACCAACTGTATGACCTCATATTTACTCTTTGCTTTGTTTTGGTTCCGTAGTTGAATCTAATGTATCTTAAAATAACTTATTCTTATTTGTCATAACTATTTTCGTTTCATACAGACATTCAAATCAAATCAGAAAAACATCTCCGTCTAGACGTTTTCGAGTACCTAATTCATGAACATACATAAAAATAAAATATTCCAACAAATTAACAATCTCCGCTGTTTGTATCTGACGTGGCTTGGTTGAAAATGTATCAAGTACTTTCACCCAAATAAAAGTTAACACAATTAATTTGCGTAGAAAATTCGTTAAGAACAACGGCTCGGTAACATAATCAACTCGTAAAGTAACTTCTTAAACGATGAACAATCTAATTAATTAAATGCTCCAACGAAATAGATACCTAAAAACAAGGATGGTAGAACTCATTACTACAAAAACGGTGTTTGGCTATACAACCCTAATATTCATAAATGGCCCTTCGGATTCACTTGAACACCATTAACCAATCAAAACACGTTATGCCAATGTTCCCACCGCTGACCCTCGTTTATGGACGGAGGTTTTTATATCTTTCACTTGTTTTTCGTTTATTGAACTTCAGCCATTTTAGCCTGTTATGATTTAAAGCCCGGGTTTACAGTTTACAGGAAAAAATAAAGCATTCAGCCTAGAGTTCTCGTTTAGGTAATAATATTGCAGGAAATTCTGGCATTTTTCCAAATGTTTTTGAAGGGACGTTATCTTCGGTTACGGTTCGGCTTGTACGAGTGTGTTAAGCGAGGTTCTAGGATAGATTTCCATGATGTAACACGTGTCAATGTGACTTTAACGTTGTTTTTTTCGATGTATGCAAAAAACTCACTCCTGTGATGAAGGCTTCTAGAGGTATTGAAACAGTTTTTGTAGCCGTTTATATTACACCATAAACAATTCGTTTAAGTCCGAACGTAAGCCGAAGTTACTTACAAAAGAAGAACTAGTTTTGAATCGTGTTACCAAACTCCTTGGTCGAACAAAAGCACTGGCTCTAATGAATTTGTTTTTACTACAAATGTCACTCGATAATCTCGTGACTTAGCACAAGCAAACTTTGGCCCTCCCCTCCCTAAGGACAAACTTTATGAAGTCCCTGTAATCTGGACATGTGTCAAAAGTATAACTATTTCGAAAAGTTCACACCAAAAGGTCGAGGTTAAGAAACGATAAAATTGTATGAATAAGATATCGTTAGTGGTACATTTTTAAAGAATGTGACTATATTATAACTTTGGATTTTTCGGACGGTGGAGGGTTCATTTTTTGAAAATGGAGCAGTTTATTATTATAAAAGTTTGTTTTGATAAGCGACTGTTTGCATTGAACATTAAAAGGATTGGATACAAGAGGTACAAAAATTCCACCAGGATGGTGTTGAGAAAATTGAATTTGGTGGTGTGGGAATGCTCTTTTTATTTCTCATATCATTTAGTCTTTAATGTGATTTCAATAGTGGCTATCGTGGTGTCCTAGATTAGTCCTGCCTCAGGTAGATATCAGACGAAAAATATTATCTAATTTTATAGATATTTTCAGAACTTCGTTTATCATGACGCTCTCATCGCTATATTAATCTTTTAGCTTTACTACTCAAATTAAAGTGTTATGTATAAAACTAAGTGTGGGAGCCAAGTGTGGGAGAGCCATGCTTCGGCACGAATGGGCCGGCTCGACCGGAGTGATACCACGGCCTCACAGAAATCCGACGTGAAGCAACGTTTGCGTTATGTTTCGTCGTGCGAGTGAGGTTACCGAAGCCCCAATTACCCTCCCCTTCCCCAATCTCCCCAATTCCTGAATCCCCAACGATCCTCAAACTCCTAATCCCTAAAAGACCGGTAACGCCTCTGGTGTTCCAGGTGTCCATGGGCGACGCAGATTTCTTACCATCAGGTGATCCGTCTGGGCGTCTGCTCGTTTACCGGCTTATACTATAAAAAAAGTAAACAGTGATACTTACAACCATAAGATTCCACATCTTGGCGGCTTCAGCAACGGTGGTACAGACAGTGGAGCAGCCAGCTAGCAGCAATAGTTTCTGTGGTGGATTGTAAAGCAGGTTGTACATCACACTCGCGCCCAGTCCCGGCTCGCACTGACGGACAAACAAGTAGATTTAATTGGATTTAGTCTCTCAAACAGCATATAATAGCACCTTGAATAATAAAACTTCAATGCGTTATCAAACCTGTAGTCTTAAATGACAGGTTAGAGTAATGTCATGTATAGATCAATCAGTAGTTACTTTTACCGTAAGCTTAAAACATTAGTACTCGATACTCGATAGCGACTGCGTATTTTTTTATATGGCGTTTGTTACAGCGCCTCTAACGGCCACTTAACTAAAATTTTCCATAAAAGAGCGAGAGGTAAGTGTGGAAGAGCCATGCTTCGGCATGAATGGGCCGGCTCGACCGGAGTGATACCACGGCCTCACAGAAGACCGACGTGAAACAACGTTGTGTTGTGTTTCGTCGTGTGAGTGAGGTTACCGGAGGCCCAGTTACCCTCCCCCCTTTCCCCAATCCCTGAATCCCCAATAATCCTCAAATTCCTAGTCCCAAAAGGCCGGTAACGCACTTGTAACGCCTCTGGTGTTCCAGGTGTCAATGGGCGACGCCGATTGCTTACCATCAGGTGATCCGTCTGCTCGTTTACCGGTTTGTCACATAAAAAAGTATTAAAAATTTGCGTCGTCGTCGCTATCGAGTATTGACAAAGACTAAGTACTACTGTACTCTCGACTCATGGTAGCGGTACATACGGCTACAAATCGATCTATATAGCCTCGCTTCGTATAATTTTTTCAGTGCATTCAATAGTCAGTTTATATTGAGTTTGTATAGCTATACTGAAGAGTATGTGAATCGTGATTTGCTGGTTTACCTTCGTTAACTAAGTTAATGAACAAACACGAGAAATAGGTAATGACGCCGTTCGCTGTTTCTATTTGAATGGGGAAATGTGTTATGATTGTTATGTGCTCTCCTATTGTTTGATGTGTGACAGGATTATTCCTGTCCGATACTAAACTGATGTTGTAAAGGAGGTTTGCGTTTTGTTTAAAAAAAAACAAGTGTCGGGTACGCTGGCATGTAAGAATCATGAAAATCACTTTTATGTTTTAAATTTCGAACGAACAGTTAACATTTTACGGTTTTTTTTAACCGACTTCTAAATAATGATTCTCAGTTAGACCTGTATGTATGTACGTTTGTGCGCAATTATCTCGCGATTGGCTGAATCAATTTTGATGCTTACGAGAAGGTTTTAAAAAAATGGGGTTGAAGTCGATTTTTTAAACGTCGTTTATAAAAGAATTATATTATTTGAATTTGTTTATTAAACTGCCAAACACCGCGAGGACACCGGTAACCGCAACCTATTGTTCTTTAATTGTGTCTATAATGACGGTACTCAAAGGGTTAATTAACAATTTACTATCTACTGATCTATCTCTATCTGAAAATCTATATACTTTAATCGACAAGGTAGCTAGACTAGTTTCAAGTCACGCAAGGGGCAATATAATACATATACATATTATACACATATCATATACATATTATATTCATATAAAGTATTTTAAACTGTCAAACATCAAGCGGTCACGGTGACCGCAACCTATTGTTCTTTAATTGTGTCTATAAATACGGTACTCGACGAGTTAATACCAATATAGTAAGTCAATTAAATGTGCATATCAGCCAGCAGACAATTTCACAGAACTTAACAATAACATTAGAATTCAAATTATTCAAACCATAATGGAGAACCACTAAAATCTTTCCGCTAAAATACATCTTGAGTCAAAACATAAAATATATAGACTTTACCATCGAGTTTCGAAGTCTACATTCATATTCATGAATGACGCAACTGTTTGACGTGTTACGATTAGTTAATTGAATTCCAAAGAGCCTCTGATTGGCTGTAACTTAGAGAGCGCATACAGTCAGCGAATCAGAGCAAAGAGTTTTTAATTAATTAGTGAACTTGACCACATTAGCAAGATAAGGGGGAAAGGTCTACTTAAACATAATTACGGCTAGCCATTTAATTTAATCTGATATCCTTTCTGACTTATATGCTTTTATATCGAGTTTGATGTGCTCAGTTACTTACTCTGCCCTCGTAACTGAAAACACAGTATCTCAAGAAATGTCATTTTGAGATAATGGCGGTTAAAGTTTGATAACTAAAACATGCCGTTGTGAAGAAACTATTATGGTTACATAAGAGTGTTTTTTTGCTATGAAATACAACTGACTGAACTTGATATTTATATATTTAAAATTGCTGAATAAAAATTAAATAAGTAATAAAATGAGATAATGTGTTATAATCAATGAATTATTTTAATACATTTCGTAAAATTTAAGCTTAATCACAGTATCTAAGTGGTTACTGTGTTTTAGTCTACTTTTATTTATTACTGTGTTTAAAGTATGTAAAGATACTAGTCTCTTAATAATGCCAAACAGTAACTTTAATGATACTGTGTTTTAAGCTATTTATCATATCCTCAATAATTTAAAATATTAATCTAGTGAGTGATATGCTGTGATTTAGACTGGGTAGAAACCAATTTTACTTTAAGATGTAGTACAGTATTTAGATATACTGTGTTATAAGCTAACCCTTTGTCATTAGTGTTAATTTTATATTTTTGTATAATGATTAGGATATTATAATTATATAAAGATATAAGGGATATTAAATATGTATATATCAGGGATATCAAATTAAACTATAATGGTTTTATGTTATTTTTATTATTTAATCAGTCTGTTAATGAAATCACAATGTCATCAATCGATCAAGTTAAGCATAAATTTTACTTTGTAAATTTAAAAATACAAACTGCTCTTTGTTTGATTGATGACATGAAATGAGATCAAAATGTTTCATAAAATATTTGTACTCTCAGTATCCACCTAATGTTAAAATTTTTGAATTAAAGAAAACAAAACAAACTCGTGCTTTGCTTAGGACAAATTTAACTATAAAATCTATAATCAGAGAAATCTAGTAATTGAGCATTATTCGCTTCCAACACATAAATTTAATCACAACCAATCATTAACGATAGTCAAATCAACGGGCAAATCATTTTCAGGCAATGTTTGCTAAAATGCAAGTCGATTCGAAGGCATTAAAGGTCCCAATTTTGTAATAATATCCATCTTTCTTTGGTTACTAATTCCTTGCAAAAAAAAACATGAAAAAGAAGAAATACAAGCAGTGGCTGTCTGTGTCAAAACAAAATTCTGTCTTGTCACTATCTCAGCCATATACTGTCCACCTAGGTATTCACTAAAAACAGATCAGTACATGTCTTTTCTTAACTGTCTTGGAAACAGATTCATATTGGGAGGTGACTTTAATGCTAAAAATACATTTTGGGGATCTCGACTGACAACGACCAAAGGCAGAGAGCTACTGTGCGCCATTGAAGAAACACAAGGTAAAACTTTATCAACAGGCAAGCCCACTTATTGGCCTACTGATACAAAAAAGATTCCTGATCTTATAGACTTTTTTATATACAAAAATATATCACCTAGTCTTCTTCGCATTGAAGAAGGTTATGATATGAGTTCAGACCACTCACCTATATTACTTACTCTAAGTGAGACTATTTTGCTGAAAGAATACAACCCCACATTGGTAAACAAGAACACTGATTGGGAAAGCTTTAAAATGGATTTGGAGTCTATGATAGATTTAAGAGTCCCACTCAAGAAACCAGAAGATCTGGACCGAGATATCAGTGAGTTTATAACACAAATACAACAATGCGCCTGGAAAAACACGCCCACCTTTAAAATAAAAAACAGAATTACCTACTATCCAGCAGAAATCACAAAACTTATAGCTGAAAAGAGGCGACAGAGACGAATATGGCATCAGACAAGATATCCACAAGATAAAAGAATTCTGAACAACCTTACAAAACAACTAAGTGAAGTAATTCAGAATTACAAAGACGAATCAATGAATAGTTATCTACAACAACTAACCAGCCATCGCACGACAGATTACTCTCTGTGGAAATCTATAAAAAGCTTAAAAAAGCCAATTCTGCATATTCCCCCTATCAAAGATATTAACGAGCGGTGGGCAATAAGCAACGAGCAAAAAGCTATAAGGTTTGCAAAACACCTAGAACTCATTTTTGAGCCAAATGAAGAGCATGAAGATAGCGACTTATTAAATGAAACAACAAATAATGATGAGCAAGAAATAAAATTCGTAACACCTAGAGAAGTGTACAACGAAATCAAGCGCCTTAGACTAAAGAAATCACCTGGTTACGATCTTATTACTGCAGAAGTTCTTAAAAACCTCCCACGTAAAGCCATCGTAAAAGTTACGACTCATATCAATGCAACGTTAAGACTTAAGTATGTACCTGATCAGTGGAAAGTTGCCGAAGTTATAATGATACCAAAACCTGGTAAACCACCTCACGAAACAACATCGTATAGGCCGATCTCGCTGCTACCGATAATGTCAAAATTATTTGAAAAGCTTCTTTTAAAAAGACTAAAACCCATCATAGAAGAAAGAAATTTGATCCCTGACTACCAATTTGGTTTTAGGGAAAAACATTCGACTATAGATCAAGTACACAGGATTACCAACATTATTGAAAAGGCTCTAGAAGAAAAAAAAGTTTGCTCCACGATCTTCCTGGATGTAGCGCAAGCATTCGACAAGGTATGGCACAAAGGCCTTATTTACAAATTAAAAAACATGCTCCCTAAGCAATTTGCTGACATCTTAGAGTCTTATCTATCACAGCGTATGTTTAGAGTAAGACATGATGATGCATATTCAGGACTCAAACCGATAAAAGCTGGAGTACCGCAAGGAAGCGTCCTAGGTCCCGTCTTGTACTTATTGTACACTTGCGATATTCCTGAATTAGAAAACAATACCATTGCCACATTTGCAGACGACACAGCTATTATGGCCACAGGTGCCACTCAAGAAGAAGCAGTGGAAAAAGTTCAAACAGCTGTCAATATCATTTTTGACTGGACAAAAAAATGGCGTGTGAAACTAAATGAATCAAAATCTGTTCACATA